AAAATTCCAGAAATAAGCAATCCCCAAATTTTAAGTTGTGTGCCGTTCTTAATAGCGTGAGGAAGTCTCAGGAGTCGGCTCCATCCTGCCTGGCTGTGCCTTATTCCACCACACACACACACACACCCTCCACACACACAGAGACACACAGAGACACACAGACACCACCCAGCGTCCCAGCAGTAGATGCTCCCGCCCCCTCGTGGCCGAGGAGCCGGCTCTCCGTGGCCAGAGGATTGTCGCAGTCCTGCAAGGCCTGTGGTCCTCACTGTCATTTCACTTCACAGCGACCCGAAGTGCAGGAGCAGGATGCTGACAATTCCAATTTGCCAGAGATCCCATAAAACACTTCCTTCAGGGGAGAAGGTGAGTCCGTGCATCCTCACTCAAGGTCCTCAATAGTTCTCTGACTTCCAGTGAAATGACGGTCCAGGAAATCAGTTTACCACAAGCTAATTTATACAGACAGCAGTTACGTTCTCCTACAGCTTCTGGTCAGCATTGTGATGAAAGGACGTTGAACGAAACAGTGTTATTCACGGCCTGTGGTGAGGAAACGCAGGACGTGCAGGGTCTGGTAGAGGCCACAGTAGATGAAGCCCAGCACGGAGGCCGCACACATTGTGGCTGGAGAAACTGAGGCTGTGCCAGACCAGGAGCCACTCGCCACTCCTTTCATCCCTTTGTGGGCGTCCATGCCGCCTCAGCGACGCAGCTTCTGAGCACTGTGCCTGCTCACGGGAACCAGACTAGGAATGAGGCAGTCAGATCGTGTGTGTGTGTGTGTGTGTGTGTGTGTGTGTGTGTGTGGAGGGCGGCAGGAGGTTGTGGTGGGAAGGAGGAGGGGGGTTATAGGGAGCAGGATCTCAAGACCAGGCAAGCGAGCTCTCCCCTCCAGGAGAGCTGGGCACAGCGGTGCACCCAGGAGACGGTTAACCTGCCCCGCATCCTTCACCCTCCCAGCTGAGCACCACACAGGCGCAGAGTGCTTCCTGCTGCCTCCCAAAGCCACCCGCACGTTACACTGCCTCCTACTGCCCTGTCCTTCCTGGGGAAAAGGAAAAAAAAAAAAAGCCAAGTCACTAGAGCTTATTTATTTGACTTTCAAACAGGACTTGAAATGGTTTTTCCTTCCAGTTGTTTGATGGCTGTGCCCAAGTCCATACCAGAGCCCACGTGTGCAAATACTCGGCACAGTAGGCCCACTACTCAGCCGCAGCACTTTAGGGATCCATGGCAATGGTTTCATTTTCATTTCTTTTAAGATTAGGAGGAAAATGAATGTAATACTAACGAATGCATAAAAGTGACCCCAGCCTTGGTTATGTTCATTTATAATAATATGATCTTAGAATACAATTTTAAGAGATTGTAGTGGAGGAAGGGCCCACAGCGGCAAAGTTGCAGGGGCTCGTGGCTGTCCCTCTGAGCACTGGGCGGCCTCCGCCCACTCACTCAGCTGGTAGACGCGGTGGGACACAGTGTGCAGGGGCTAAGCGCACGGGAGGGAGGGACGAGGAGACCTGGGTCAGCTCTTTTCTTGCCACTCATTAGCACTGTAGCCAAGTGACTTAGTCTAAGCCTGCATTTCCCTCTCAGAAAAGAGGAAGTACTGCCATCTGCCTCCTAATATTGTGAAGAATACGTGAAATAACAGTGTATGTGGAATAGCTGCTGCTTTATTTTCATTTGTTTGCAGGTTCAGAATCATTCATATGTGTGTATATATTCATGCAAATCAATAAACCCCTCTACCTACCTACCTATCCAAAACACACACACACACCCTACAGATGGGGAAAATGCCTCTTGTGGGAAAAAAAAAACAAACCCACAACAACCCACCATCACCAACCCTTCCTTCTCCCCCCCCCCCCCCCCAAAAAAAAAAAAAAAACCTGTCATGGCGAAACTTGGCCTTCTGGTCTTTACTAAATATATGTATGTGTGTAAGAATTCAGGGGCCAGGGTGAGCGGGCAACTGGACTCAATCATCTTGGCCACAGTCTACCTGATTTTGTAAGTGGAATGGATGCTTACTAATGAGGCTTTCTATTTAGCCATTCTCTAAGCTGACAACCCAGAGGCAGTGGGGCAGGCAGGTATGTACGTATCAATCATATGGCCATAGGTGACCCGTTGCATTTTAAGGGCTATAGCTCAAGCTACTGGGGACTTTCCCTTCCAGGCATGCTGCTGATCTTAGTCCCTATACTGCCTTTCCTGAAATACACAATCAGGAAAACATTTTAAGAGGAACATTTATTGGTCACCATGTGCAGCTATACCAGGTATTGGCCATAAGTAAATCATGTGTAAACCAGAAATGGCAAAGAGAAATAGGATTCCCAGGACTGTTTTATTTTTTTAAAATATATTTTTATTGATTTTGTACAGAGAGGAAGGGAGAGAGATAGAGAGTTAGAAACATCGATGAGAGAGAGTCATCTATCAGCTGCCTCTTGCACACCTCCTACTGGGAATATGCCCGCAACCAAGGTACATGCCCTTGACCGGAATCGAACCCGGGACTTTTCAGTCCCCAAGCCGATGCTCTATCCATTGAGCCAAACCAGTTTTGGCCCAGGACTGTTTTAGAACAGCTGTCAGGATTCCTCTCCTGGGCCAGACACAGTGACCTGAACTGGACAAAATCAGAGATCTGCTGGTAAGGGTCACCCACAGAGGTCTCCACACAGGACAGGCATGGCTTCTGGAGCACATTAACAGCTCCCCATTGGGCCATGGTACCATCTCCAATTTTTTTTTTAATAGTTTTAAAAATTGATTTTAGAGAGAAGGGAGAGGGAGAGAAACACCAATGAGAGAAACATTGATGGGTTGTCTCCTTGCGCTCTCTACTGGAAATCAAGCCCAAAACCCAGGCACGCGCCCTGACTGGGAATTGAACCAGTGACTTCTCTGTGCATGGGACAGCGCTCAACCACTTGAGCCACACCAGTCAGCCCCATCTTTACCTATTGAACCCCAAACGCCAGAACTGTGCTACGATCTTCATGAGAGACAACCCGAGAGCAGCCTTAGTCTGTTCCCAGAACACAGCCACCTCACAATCCATTCCCCGCTTCCTCCGCTCTCCCCCAGCACATCCCCACAGCCAGAGTAGAGCCATCCTCACTGCTTCATCTCCCCACAGCCTCCACCAGAAGAGGACAGCCCTCTTTTCACAACCCTATTTCCTCCAAGACGCAAGAAAAGGCGAGCTTAATGACTGTTGGCTCGAGGGTTCTCTTAAGGAAAGCAGATTTACTAAATGAGAATGTCCTTATTTCTATTTTTTAAAAAGTAAGTCAAAATTTGAAAACTTTATTTTTTGAGATGAAACATGTACATAGTACAAAATTCAAAAGGTACCAAAGGTGTACAGTGAAAAGTAATTCCCACCTTTCTTCCCAGAAGCAACCAAGGCCGCCAGTTCTTGTGTCTCCCCAGCGACCCCCTAGGCTTCTGCACACAGGTGTGTTTGATACACATTTGTGTGTTGTGTGGATACCGATGCACACATACACCCACAGGCTTACATTTTTCTCCACCCCTTCCTCTTTTTATAAACTAGCACTAGGGAGTGTACTACGCACTTCTTCCCTCCTCTCAACCAGGCATCCTGGGGCTCATTCCATGGCAGTACAGACAGAATGGCACTGTTGTTCTAATATTCCATTGTGTGGAGTCACCATGATTTATTTAACCGTTGTCTTATGGTGGTAGATTCCAGCTTTTTGCTCTTAGAAACAATGCTGCAATGAAAATCCCTGAACACGGAAAAATTCTTAGAAGTAGCACTGCTGGCTGGAAAGGTTTGTGCACTTGCACTTTTGAGGGATACTGTGATTCGCCCTCCAGAGGTGGTACGATTCCTGCTCCTGCCAACACCATTTCTGAGTGCTGCTGCAAGGCTTGGTTTTTGTGGCTGAGTCAGTTCAACCAGACAAGTTACCTTTAGATACATGACACACTTTGAGCCAGAACACACCCCTGGTCTAATCTCTGACATGAGTGTGTTCCCCTTCTCTCCACCTTCTCCCCCACTTACATGGGGACAAAAAACATCTGAAACAGGTAAATATGAAACCTCTGGCACCTTTTTCTTCCCAACCTTCAAGGTGAGAATAAAACAAGTACACTCTGAGGTTCTCTAAAACAGCTCAGTAAATTGTCTACCTGTTTTCAAACTAAGTATAAATTAGATGGAAGGTTAAAATCTAAACTTGGCTAATGCAGAGATGCCAAGACGCAATTTGAAGAAGCTATTTTATCCAACAAAACTTCCTAACTCTCCAGACTAGCCAGACGCAAGCCAGGCCCCTCCTTGTGTGGCTCTTACCCTCCAGAGGGAAGGGAGGCAACAGCTCTTACAAAAAGGACTATGATGCAAACACTGCCAGCAAGTGCCACCCGGACAGACAGCAGGGAAAGGACAGAATGTGATCAGGCCTGCAGCCTGACGCTGAATGGATTTGTATGAGCATCAGGTGGTCAGGAAAAGCCTCTGCCCACAGCTTTGGAGGGAGAGCAGTCCAGGTGTGGCAAAATCAAGGCCAATACCATGGACAGGCATGAGTTTGACTTGTGAGGCACTGATGTAGGCTGGCACGGAGAACCACAGTATCCCCACGTCCAACAGGCTGCAGACCAGCTACTAAACCTCTGCCAATGTTTTTACACATTTATTGTTATTCTAAGGACAGACCATGGGACCTTATTTCATGTAGTATTCTTAGCTTATCACCATGTGCTGTATGAAGGAACACTCTGAACAGGGGAGGGGGAATCAGAAGGTGCATCACACAAGGCACTTGCCTTGTAATTGTTAGAACTTGTTGCTAGTGCAAGGAGGCAGGCGTGTGGGGTACAGGCTGCTCACCAACAGACCAATGGACGGGACTGGCAGATATCCAGGTTGCAGGCCCAGAAGTGGCGGGAGGCTGTGGTGACTCAAGGTGAACAGATTCTTAGAGGACTTTTTAGCAACTTCCATTATGTGGTACCCAAGTGGGACCAGGGGCTTCCTTTTTGTCCCTTCGTTTTGGCCTTGGAGTAACTACCAACTAATTTCTGAACAACAAGAAGAAAGGAAACCTAAAATGACTTCTGAAAGTAGCAATCTTGTGGATGGGAGTTCTGAAGCAGATGTTTTAAGGAGGCTTCTCAGCATAAACCTGGCAATGACAACTCATGGCCCACATCAGACAATGAAGATTTCAATTTTGATAGCAAGAATGCTGAGCAAAACTAACTGCTATTCAGCAATTCAAGAAAAACATAGAAGCAAAATATGGCATGTGAGACCAGAGAACAGGACCTCATATGAGGACAATTTTTATAACGAAAATGACGATGTGGTTGGCAACGTTCCCAATACATTAAAAAAAAGTCCAGGGCTCTTCTCATCCTACCTTTCCATGACCTGAACCTCTTCTAAAAGCTTCTTTCACATCTTTGGCAGTTGTTGGCCTTACAAAGAAAGAAGCGACTTTAGAGGAGGAACCAAGTTGGTGGCGTAGGTAAACACCAGTACTCACTGCCTCCCAGAGCCAGATCAAAATTACAGCTAAAATACAGAACAACCATCATTCACGGAACTGCCTGAAAGCTGGCTGAATGGAAGTCCTACAACTAGAGAAGAAGAAAGCACACTGAAACTGGTAGGAGGGGCAGACACAGAACAGGCTGGTCCAGCACCCACGTGTACTGCATTTTTAATCGGGAGGAACATGGTCTCTGTGAGGCCACCCGTGAGGAGCAAAGGGTTCCAACTCCAAACCAGACCCCCAGTCCAGGGATCAAAAGCTGGAAAGAGAGGTCCCCGAAACTTCAGGCTGTAAAAATCAGCAGGGATTTTGGCTGAGGGACACAGAGGCTGCTGGAGATCTAGGTGTTCCTCTTAAAGAGCTGGCACAAGAACTTACTTCAACTCCCAGCACTGGGCAGCTTTGAGGGACCCAGACACATACAGGGAGGAGCAGGATTGTCTGGCATTGGGGCAGGAACTTGGAAGTGGCTTTCTCCCAAGACTGGGGTGCTCACAGGGGGTCAATGTTCCTGTGTTGGGACTGCACCTGTTGCAGAGCTGACTGGCAGTTGTGCCTGAGTTTCCAACAGCATGGTATCATCTACTCTGTAGATCAACTGTAGCAAACATGGAATTTTCTAGACTGGCTTCCGCTGATTCAAAATGTATTCAAGGACTGGAAACTAATTTATTATTTGTATTAGGCCTTGTAGATGACAAAAAAGAGAAAAGATTCAACTGAGACCTCCTTGCACCAAACCAAATCAAACTTTTTAGAAACACAGACCAACGTAAATGCCCCACTTTGGATAGGTCATGCCATCCTTTTCCCAACAACAGAGAGGTGACCTACAGTAACCCCAGAATGTCGCCCACTATTCTTCCTTACCACCTTTGGACAAATATCTGAATAATCTCCTAACTCCTCAAAAAGCTGTCAATTAGGGAGCTCTATAAGCTTCTCAACAAGAATAATGATGTTCCCCTGAACCTAAAATAATTTTCAAACTAACAGCTGTTACCTTCCTCTGCCCTCCAAGTGCCACTTGCTCTTCAGCAATTTCTTTAATTTCACGGATATGAAAGTCCACAATGACCATATCCAGGGACCAGTCTAAGTGGAGATGTCCACAGTTCAACATATGGAATAGCACTGCAAATACTGCTTTCCACCCAGCTCTGGAAGCAGCCATCCCTGCTATGCAGGCTCACTGGCCCTGGCACAGAAACCAATGGCTGCTGTTAATCCAGCATGAGATTTCCTTCACAGTCTAGACACATCAGCCCTTTATCACATATATGCGGGAACTAAAAATGAACATGACCTTCCTTGTGACTGTTCTGTGACCCATCCATTTGTCTACCACCTTTAAGCTCTTACGTTTTATGGTCCAAACCTACTGACTGGTATGTGTGCAAGGTTTATGCAGAATGAAGTGCAAACCTCACACTGGGAATTTCTGAACTTGACCGAGCTGCCGATCGCTGGGGCCAGGGCAGGAGCAGTGTTTGGTTGGGACTGCTCATTTCCAGAGGTTCAAACGACTCTTCAGCCTTCCTTCCAAGGTCTCCAAAGTCTGGTCCTAGCCCGTATTTCTGGACTGGTCTCTAAAGCCTCTTGCACAAAGACCAGCCCATCCAATGCTCTTTCAGCAGGCCTTGTCCTCTCTCACACCCTCGGGAATGTTTGGTCAGAATCATTCATATCTTTATCTAAAATGGCCTTCCCTCTTATTTGTGCCTATTAAAATGCTGTGAACCGTTCACATGTAGCCCAAAGCCTGGCTCCGCCACGAGTCTCCTGGATCTCTGCACACTTCACTGCTTTCTCCTGACATCTGTGATTTATCACATCCTGCCCGGGACTACAGCGAACGGTGTCTCTCCCCTCAGGGTTCAGACCATGGCCCTTCCACAGGGTAAGTCACGAGGAATGAGGGATGTAAAAGGCCATCCACATGTTGCTATGACTGAAATGAGAGCTAGAGCATGACTAGGTGTCATTCTTATTTACATCCTCAATGCGAGGCCAGCTTTCAGTGCCTGGCGAAATGAACATGAGTAGTATGTAAGGATTAAACCAATAGCAGGCCCTGAGTTTTCTTTCTAGTTAACACACCATGAAGGCTGGCAATCTAAGGACACAGAAACAACAAACACCATGGCAAGTGAAGGGCTCAATTGACCAGCACTCACATGGGTTGCTCCCTAAGCTGTAAAAGCCTCTGATTACTAAAGAAAATCCAAGGTGGCCAAGCTCTGGGGTCATGTGGCTGTATCTGCTCTCTGGCCCACTGGCTGGGTGCCCGACTACAGGGACTGTGTTTGATACTTCCATCTCCCTCAATGCTCACTTGTCAATGGTTGTTTAATTAATATTTGCTGAACAAATTAATTTCTCTTTATTCAGAGAATCCATACAGGTACCTTCATATGTGCAAAATTACTGGAGAAATACAAGTTGAATCGACACAGAGAACAAATACTGCCCACACTTCTGCAGAGGATGAGTTATCTAAGCCACAATGTTTACACTGTCTGATTCCATCAACGACCCTCACAGAGTTGGAGTGGAAGCCAACAGGAGAGAGAAAATATCCAGGATGTGTAAGTCATTACACCTGCATCTCTCTACCGTAGCATTCAGAACCATCTCATGATCCTGTAGCTGATACGTGACGTTCACAATGAATCACTGACGTCCGATGATGGCTGGGAGTTTTCAGGAGGCCTTGGCTTTCATCTTGGACAGCAGCACCTCGTTCCTGCGGCCCTCCTGGAGGGGAAGCAGAGAGAGTGTGTACAGAGAGGCGGGGCTACAGTGGTACCTATATGAGGCCCAGATGGTCTTGCTGTCCTCCCCCTAGTCCCACTGGACATAACTGTTGACCAACTAAACCAGCCTCCTACCACATTGCCATCAGTGTGGTGAAATTTCCCAGCGACATGCTGACCTTCAATACTAAAATAGCTATGATGACAACCACTGTCCACACTGTCAGATTGCAAACAGGATGACAAGACTAGTCACTGTCACTCCAAAAGACTTCCTGAAGTCTCTAAAACCTTAAAGGGGACAGAAGCTGAAAGCTGCCAATCCTGGATACTATAGGCAGCAAGGAGAGGAGGGGAGGTCCTTGGAGACAGACTAAGGAGCACAGCAGGGGAAACAGTAGACAAGTTCTTACTCTGATAACAGTGAAAGTTAAGAATATCCTTAACTTTAAGAAAGAGAAACTGCCAAAACCGGTATGGCTCAGTGGATAGAGCGTCAGCCTGCAGACTAAAAGGTTCCAGGTTCCATTCCGGTCAAGGGCATATACCTTGGTTGTGGGCACATCCCCAGGTGGGGGTGTGCAGGAGGCAGCTGATCGATGTATCTCTCTCATCGATGTTCCTAATTCTCTATCCCTCTCTCTTCCTCTCTGTAAAAAAAATCAATAAAATATATTGCCGAAACCGGTTTGGCTCAGTGGATAGAGCGTCTGCCTGCGGACTGAGGGGTCCCGGGTTCGATTCCAGTCAGGGGCATGTACATTGGTTGCGGGCACATCCCCGGTGGGGAGTGTGCAGGAGGCAGCTGGTCGATGTATCTCTCTCATCGATGTTTCTAACTCTCTATCCCTCTCCTTTCCTCTCTGTGAAAAATCAATAAAATATATATTTTTAAAAATCAATAAAATATATTTAAAGAGAGAGAGAGAGAGAGAGAAAGAGAGAGAGAGAGAGAGAAACTCACTGAAGATGAGAAATAAGCATCAGGGGACACCTTCCCCCTTAAGAATGAGCTGTGTGAGATCTATTACTGTATGTGCTGAGGGACACTACTGAGGGAGGTCACTGGCCCCATCCCCTGCCTGTGTAATTGACATATAGTGGTATAAGGTCACCTCTGCATTATTTTATATTCCATTTTTCAGACATCTTCAAAGGCTTCTCACTGTGTTCTCCTGCCCTCTTATTCCCACTGGCTTTCATAGCTCAGGATGCATTCATTTACTAGCAAAAATCTCCACCCTTTCCCTGGCAAGTGTTTCCCAATGGTTAGAGCACCAGATGCGCAGAGAAGGATCTTGGGTTCGACTCCCAGTCAAGGACGCTCCGTTGACACAGAAATAAAGAAAAATACTGAACCTCCCCTCCCCCTCTCCACCAAAAGCTCAACTACAAAAAGGAGAAGAAGTAGGGAAAGAAAAAATGAGGATGGAGGGAAGGAAGGAAGGTCTTAAAACTGTACAAGAACAAAATTATCACTATGAAAAGATTATATTGTTTTATTCTGTAGACCAAACACCAGGATACAACTTACCATTAGTGCCTCTGTATTTTCAGCAACCTTTAAACTCATTCAAACCACATGGATTTAGGTTAGAATGGGGGTAGGTATTCCTGGAAATAAAGCTGGTGAGACCTGGGAAGTGACAAAGTAGTCTCCCTTCTGGAAGATCTCTTAAGTAAAGGGCATACACTTTCTTTCTGGAACAATGGAGAGTAAGCCTGCCCAAATGCAGGGAAGAAAAGACCGGGACAAATGAAATTCAGTGACTGGTGGGTGTCACAGGTGCTAGACACAGTGCCAGATGCAATCGTCTCTCATCTGACCCAACAGAACCCACCAATGATGAAATTAAGGCTAAGTAACTGCCCAAGGACACAGCTGGTAGTGGTAAAGGTAAGATTCCAACCCAAGCCTGGCACACTTCAAAGTTCACTCGTCGTCCTATACTGCTTCTCAAGGTTCCCCCCACATCCTAACTAAGGTAGAGGGGAGAAAAGCTCTAGGTCTAAATCATAACATAGTCTCTAAGTGGCCCGTGAAATGGGCTGATGCTACCATTTTATAAATTTATCTAGAGGCCCGGTGCATGAAATTCGTGCAGGCAGGGGATGGGAACCCTCAACCCTGCCTACACCCTCCAATTAGGGACCCCTCGAGGGATGTATGATTGCCCGTTTAGACCCGATCCCTGGACATCCCTCTCATAATCCAGAACCTTTGTCTCCTAACTGCTCACCTGCCTGATCACCCCTAACTGCTCCCCCTGCAGGCCTGGTTGCCTCCAACTGTCTCCCTCCTAACCCCCCCCTCACCTCCAGCCTGGTCCCTCTCACTGTCCCACTCCCATTTACTGCCCAACTGCCCCCTGCCGGCCTAATCGCCCCTCACTGCCCCCCTCTGCAGGCCTCGTTGCCCCACACAGCCTGCTATTCGGTCATTTGGTTGCCCCCTCACTGCCCTCGCTATTGGCCTGGTCATCCCACACAGCCTGTATGGTTGTCCATGTGGTTGTTTTAGTTGTGACAGCCCCTGTTTTGTTTTGTTTTTTTTTTAATTTATATAATATATTTTATTGATTTCTTACAGCGAGGGAGAGGGATACAGAGTTAGAAACATTGATGAGAGAGAAACATCGATCAGCTGCCTCCTGCACACTGCCTACTGCAACCAAAGTATATGCCTTTGACCAGAATCGAACCTGGGACCTTTCAGTCCGCAGGCCTATGCTCTATCCACTGAGCCAAACTGGTTAGGGTACCGCTGGCTTTTTATATATATGGAAGGATGGATATGCTTGTTAAGTGTTAGGAAAATGAAAAAAGATGTTAAGTCTCCTGGAACATTCAATTAGAACCTCAGGATAGCTTCAGAACAAGGTGATCCGACCTAGCCAGATACCACCCTTCATGGTCAGATCGCACTGCCACCTTCTCTTTCCCATCACAGACTAAGAGAAAACCAAGGAAGTGCTCTGGTTTCTAATGGCTCATGTAGAAGTGAACATAAATCTCCCTCCAGCTATATAAGCCCGACCCATCTCCCTCTTACCTCCTTGAACTCTTTCACAGTCTTAAAATATAGCCTCTGTTTTTCTAATAGTTCCAAGTACTGGTCATTCAACTGGTCTCTTCTCATTTTGTTCTCTTGCTTCTTCTTTTCCATCTGTTGAAACATTTTGGGAAATGGTAATGAAAAGACATGTTCTGACCAAGGACTATTGCCAACTATTACTAATATTTTTATAGATTTCCTTCCAGTATTTTCCTTCTTTGTATCATTTTTTTTAGGTTGGTTTATTTCTTTACATGATATTGTATAGAGGTTCTATTTATTCCTATCACTTTTCCTATTACTGGGTATTAACTGCTCTATTTTAATTATTTTTGTGTGTGACTAAAAACAATTCACAATCAACCAAGGGTTATTTTGTCCCCAGAGAATAGTTGGCAATGTCTGATGACAATTCAGGTTGCCACATCTGAGGAAGCGGTGCTACTGGTATCTACTGGTAGAAGCCAGGGATGCTGCTAAACATCCTGCAATACACCGACAGCCCCTTTACACCAAGAAATTACCCAGCACTGAGGGGCCAACAGCATGAAGCCTGGGGGAGGATGGAGAGAATGAGGGGTCAGGATATACCTTCCCCAGGAAGGCACTGCTTAGTAAACAGGAAGGAGAAACCAAAGGGAAAAATTCCTGTTGTTCTTTACTCTTTTGTTGTTGTTCTTTTTTTTCTTCAACTACAAATTTTCTGTTGTTTTTTACTCTTAGCAAGAGCAGCTAAGGAGGAGCATGGCGAGGTGGGAAGGTCCACCACACTGAGATGTGGGTTGAGACAGGCTCATGGTTAGCCAGGTTCTATGCTCTCCACCTACCTCATACCCAGGCCATCAGAGAGCTCATCCACCTTAAGTATCTATGTACAGGCAAGCACTGCCTCACATCAGCTCTCATTATTGTGGATAAAAAAATCTTATCACTAGTGACACCTTTTTTTCTCCTTTTAGGTTAATTTCTACAGGGAAAATAATACGGAGGGATTTTGCCCTCAGATACTTCATCACTTGTGAGATGAGAGCATAGGCAGCCTGATATCTGTCTTCTGTGAGTGAGTTTTTATGACGACAGGTCCCACAGGCAACCCTTCCATTTGTTTACGTTCCAGCATCACTCACTGGACCACTCTGCCCCAAGATCATTTGAGGAGATATCCTTAGTCCCCAGGAGGTTCTACAGCCTTGCCTGAGGATCATTCTGGTGTGATATATTTTTTTCTTTTAAACAGGAAACTGAAGCTGTGTCTGACTTTTAGACAGCCAGCAAATCTGCTTAGTTTCTGACTAAAAGGCCTATAGGCAGAGCCACAAGGAGGAAAACTCCGTGCTACTGGGTGATTATCTGAAAAGCAACCTCTGGAGCTCCCACCCTTTTCAGTTCCTCTACTTTCTATTCTGACTTCTGAGGCATTCGATATTCTTTCACTTTAGAATTCAGTTCAGCAATTATTTGCATTTTTTTAAATAGGAGGTTCCTGAACACTACAATGTGCCTGAGATTCCAAGGAATCAATTTTTAATGGCAGACTGTCAGGAACCAAAGATGCAGTGAGGAAGTGATGCTGATGAAATTGGTTTCTCATCTGTAAATGGGTATGACACCACTCACTTAGGAGGGCTTTAAGAGGATTAGCACAGTCCTTGGCACAAAGCAGGTGGTCAATCGTGGGAGATATTCCTAAGAGCTGCCTTTGGACCAGCAGTGCAGGAGGCCCTAGGAGCCGGCCCTGGCCCTGCAGAGGCATGAAGATATGTCTTCAGGACTGAGGGCACATGACCAAGAACAGCCAGAAGCAGCCTATTCTTCCCAGGGCCTTCTCTCCTCCATCACCAGTGTAAAACCCGCCTTCTAACCTTCATTCTACTTTGCTTAATTCCTTCGACGATCTGTTCCATCTGACGTAAAAACTGGTCCCGGGTAGCAGGGGAAGCCATGGCTCTGAAAGAAAAACGAGCATAGGTATGACTAGCACACAGGGCTCTGAATAAGGAGGAGGTCCACAGGGTCAGCCTGGTACCCAGACGATGCCCCAAGAAGCATTGAGGCTTTTGCAAGTGGACCCGTGGGAAGCCCAGAGAGTTAATAATTCTAAACTCTGAAGGCATAAAAATGAACCTGATTTTATAATTGAATATTAATCTTTTTTCATTTTTCCTACAATTTTCTTCAGTAACATGTGTTTTCTTTAATTAAAATTTCACTAAAATTAACAAAACCTTTTTTACTTTGAATGATAGTAGGTACTGCTTAATGAATAAATTTTGAAAGATAAACATCACATGATCTCACTCATTTGTGAAATATAATGAACAACATAAACTGATGAACTAAAATAGATCCAGAGACATAGAAGCATTGAACAGACCATCCAATCTCAGAGGGAAGGCAGGAGGGGAATGGGGGGAGGGCAGTGAGAGATCAACCAAAGAACTTGTATGCTTGTATATAAGCATAACCCATGTACACAGACAGTAAGGGGTGAGGGCATGTCCTCAGGGATAGGAATGACCGGGGAGAGGTTAATGGGAGAAGAAAAAGACATAGGTAATGCTTTCAACAATAAAGAATTAAAAATAAATGGGGGAAAAAAAAAAAAAAAGAATTTTGCCTGGCCAGTGTGGCTCAATGGTTGAGCTTCACCCCATGCACAGGGGGTCACTATCAGGGCATATGCCTGGGTTGTGGGCTCGATTGCATAGATGATTTTAGCTCTCTCCCCTTATCCCTTCCTCTATCTGAAATTAATAAAAACATATTTTAAAAAATGAGTTTCATTTATTAGTTCTTAAAAATCTGAGGATTTGAGACACTGCTCAAGATTAGTAGATATATTCTGATATTTTCCTAAAACAAGGCTGGGAAACCTGGTATTTCTAGAAGCAGTAGCTAAATGAGTAGATTCCCTGATGTCCTAAAACATTCCCCTTCGCCTCCAGTTCCAGAGAGGAAGTAACATCAGAGGGGTCAGAACACATGCAAACCAGGATTTAGAAATTCTTCCAAAAAATGTCAACAGTCACAAAAACACTCAAACTGCAGGCCCTCTCACTGGCCAGAAAGGAAAGATGGTGTCATTTTTAGAAATGTCACAGTTGTAAGTCACTAACTGAGTTTTTATCAGAGAGCTATGGGTGTTTTCAATTAGAAATTAAGCTTAAAATCTAAAGCTTGTAATCTATTAAGATCTTAAGTTACTAGTCACCTGTTAAGGGACAGTGCTGGAAGGAAAGGAAGTCTGTTATACAGAGAGCAGGCCCTGGAGCTGCCTGGAGGGTGGGTGGGCCAATGGGCATGCATGCCTCAAGGCTGGTATGATTTCAATGCATCAGGTTTGGTACATCCAGTTTTTGGAGAAAAAATTCATATCTGAATAAAGTACTTTAGAGGATGCACATTAACTTAAAACAAAGTCAACCACAAGATTTCTAAAAATCTTTTAAAAATTATACAGATTATACTCCATCCGGGTGTCTCAGTTGGTTGGAGCACTGTCCTGTCCTGTACATCAAAAGGCTGCCGGTTAAATCCCCAGGTGGGATGTGTACAGGAGGCAACCAATTGATGTTTCTCTCACATTGATGCCTGCCCCCCACCCCTCTCTCTTCTTTTTTCTCTAAAATCAATAAAAACATACCCTTGGGTAAGGATTAAAAAATATTATATAATTCATTACCTAAATTTTAAAACATCTCTATGTCCTGAAGAACAATTGGTATTAACCTAAACATAGCAAGACAAAAGTAATATACAGAGATTATAGCAGCGGGGCACAGTCAACTAATTTGAAAGTTAACTTTTCCCTAAGCTATTCCTTGTTTTTAAAATTAACTCTAACATCATTGTGTTTCTGCAAGAACTCAAGGGCTGTGCACATTTGCACTTAGCAGCAGGGGAGAAGTATCAGCATCACACATGAGCACTAAGTCTTGCTCAGTCGCACTACTGCAGCACTAAGGTGAGCAGAGAAAAGTGGAGGGCACACCAAGTCTGACAGTACTTACTGTGAGAAGTTCTCATGAATTGAGTTCAGCAGGCTAATCTGAGGAAGAAAGAAAAAAAGAAAAACTATAAGCAAAAGACTGAAAGATCCTTGTCCTGTCTCAACCCCTGAAAGCCTGTCCTACTCTGGACAGCACTTCTGAAAGAGCACCTCTTGTTTATGGAGATGAAAGTCACATGAAAAAACACACAAATAGCAACATGTTCTTAGCCCTAAAGTTTTCCCCCAGAAAATCTAGCTGGACACCCAATGGCCACAGGAATGTAGGAAGAGGGATCCTTGAAGGAACCTAAATCACCCCAGAGAAGTTGCTGAGCTAACATTAGGGCTCTTTGGGCAAACTGCCACCACTGCCCTTTCTGACTTGCAAACTTTGCAATTTATTTTGAAGGCTATCAGTGGAGCATAGGGTTAATTGAAGTGGGGAGTGAGAACACTGTCCATCCTATTCCTTCCCACAAAACCTTCTTGCCAAGGTGGCCAGCTGCTGGGGGGCTCTGAGAGGCTCCAGAGAGTGTGCATCATTCAAGGCCTCCATTCCCATAAGAACTGCCTTCAGCCACACAGTATGCCTCTTTATCTACCCCAATGACACAGTCCAGGGCAGAGCTCTGAGTCCGAAGAAACTAGAAACCTAGTTCCTCCTTTTTGCCAAGTCACTAATTTAACTTGTAAGCTCTGTACTTAGCCCTTACTATACTTGGCTCAGGTTCAGTCTGTAACATAGAAATTATATTCTTGTCCTTATGATTCTAAAATATCACAGGCATAGGCAGATTTTGAATAAAATGCATAATTTATTCAAGTGCAAACTTCTGTAATAATATGGATTAAAATTAAAAAGTCCTCACTCCCCTAAATACTCCTACTAGTTTTTAAAAGAATGCAACAACTTCAGATACTGCTAATGAAGGAAGGTCAATGGGTTCAAGACTTTTTCAGGAGGAGCTTGCCTGTCCCTATGTTAGGACTGACAAGTCTTTCCCATGTCACATAGAAGACCCCGAGACCAGGATGTACAGCACAGCTATCCCACCAAAGGCAATCTACTCATCTATCCAAACACTTATCAAATTCCCATTATGTGTAAGGCCCTGGATACAGAGGAAATGAGAGCTCAGTCCTCCTCAAGGAGAGCCCTTCTAGAAGAGAGATTTATCACATTTGATTAGCAACAGGCAATAAAGGTGATAATAATTATAGATGCCTCCATGTAGGCTCAAGTAAACGATATATCTGTAATATTGTTCTTAGTAAAGTGGCAATCAGTGCAGACTGCAAGGTGATAACATGAAAACAAATTCTGTCAAAGTGAGGGGGTAAGCAGGAACTATAGGTATTAAAAACCACCATGTGCAAGGAATATCACATTTCCTCTATTCTGTTCCCATCATAAATCATATGAAAAGTGTTTCCATTTTCCTGGTTAAGAAAATAAGGCCAGGCTACAACCCAAATCTGACTCCAAAGCTCATGCTCTCTCCACCACACTGTGTTGCTACTGTGAAAACCAGTCCATATTGTTCTTTTATATATGTAGTTGCACACCCCACCCCACTCATTTGCCATCCGACTTTGGGGAGCACTGAATTATGAATGGATTTACCTGACAGCAATACTGAGAGGCTGTCAGTGCCATGTGAAGCCTCTTTCACACATTGATGATCCTTTTAGTTCATACCTCTGTCTGATACTAATAATTAAACAGACATTTCCCCATGTAAACGATGACAAGCCCACCATCCCCATTTCATTTAGCTGGTTCCTTCCTTTAAAACTCGAACGTTTCACCAACTCCAGGATCCCTCCATATGCACTTCCTGAGCACCCGCTGTGTTTCTCTTAAGAGGCATGTCTCCCATGCACTCTAAGACAGTTGTCCACCTGCCTCACTTCACCCCAGACAAGGTGAGCTCCATGGAATCTTGCACTTTCCGACTCTGCATCCCAGCACAGGGCATATACCAGGCACTCCTTTGGCTGAAACTGAATGCATCCCAGACACCAAGTTCATTTGAACTTCCTGGGGTCAACAGCACTGGTGGATGCTCATCTGATTTTACAAAGGTTCTTACCTCTTTTTCCAAATAAACCTTTTTATCATCCAGGGTATTATACAAAGTGAAGAACTGCTTGGTTTCTTTATGCACTGCTGAAACTGCAAATGCAAAGAAATCAGCACATGAATAAGAAAAAGTATCAAAACAACCCTAAGCCCTCGCTTCCCTTAAGGCACCCCCCTCAAGAGTGGGACCTGTCAGGCTGGCACTCTGAACCTGCAGGCTGGGAAGAAGCTCACAGGGCACATAAGCTTGTGCTCAGCTGCTACAGGCTGATGGCACGCAGCCAGTCAAAACGGCTCCGGCCAACAGCAGGGGCTGGAGAAATCTCCTTGCCAGATGTGGGTTTCTCAGAAGTCCCTCACGTGAAAGCCCTGGGAGGAAGGTGACAAGGATGATGAAAGGCCAAGCTAATAACTCTTTCTGGTTGTGTGGCTTCCTCCCTTCCCACACCAACATAGCTCAGAGCCTAGGTGACTTCCTCAGGGGTCTAAATTTCTATAATATACAGCCACCCAGAGAGAGATGAAACCCCAAGACCTGGGTTCACAGCCAGGCTTTGACCCAAGCTAAGCACACCAGTGTAGCTGTAGCTAAAGATCTGATGCCACATGGTTATCAGGCACTGCCAAGACTACGTGGGGTCTATGCCATGGGCTCTGGGTGCCCGAAAGCAGGTTGCCTCTGGACAGCAAACTGGGAAAGGAGAGAGGAGAAGTGGAGCAGGCCTGGGCAATTCTGGTTTCCTTGGGCAACTACTATTAACATTAATATCCAATTCTTTAAACCAGTCAACTTTTAACTTTTATATTCAGTAAGAGCTGTATTTTCCTCCAGCAGTATAGCTCAAAGACAAGCAGGTCAGGAAAATTTGCTGAACATATCTGGTAACAGACGGTAATAATCTGATATAAGTGCTTTGATGAAACAGGAAAAAATATTTCTAACATCAAAATGTATGATTTGTAGAAAAATCACATTATGAACCAGTGAATATAGAGTACTATTATTCTTGCTAAAAGCTTTAGAACAGGGGAATAAATTATGCATTTTATTCCTGCTCGAAAAGAGGAATCACCTGAGGAGCTTTTAAAGTTCATGACCAATTAAATAAGATATTCTGGGGATGGGACCCAGGTGATTACAATGGGTGGCCAAAGTTAACAGTCACTGCTGAAACACACCAGTCAACTTTTAGCTTTATTGCTCATGAATGTAGCTGTCACCATTACTCCATCCAGCTCAAGGACTGGTTGGAGGATGCAAGTATCTATACATATAAAAGGCTAATATGCAAAGTGTCCCCACAGGAATTCAATTGGGACTTCCATCGTTTGCTATGATGTGTGCAGACCACCAGGGGGCAGTGCAGAAAGAAAAAAGGCCCCAGACAGCAGCAGAAAGGCCCTGATCAGCCCTGATCACTGGCCAGGCCAGGGACCCTACCTGTGCACAAATTTTGTTCACTGGGCCTCTAGTTACTTAATATTTTAAAAATATATTTTATTGATTTTGCATAGAGAGGAAGGGAGAGAGATAGTTAGAAACCGATGAGAGAGAGTCATCGACCAGCTGCCTCTTGCACACCCCTTAGTGGGGATGTGCCCGCAACCAAGGTACATGCCCTTGACTGGAATCGAACCCGGGACCTTTCAGTCCCCAAGCCGACGCTCTATCCATTGAGCCAAACCGGTTTTGGCAAGTTACTTAATATTTTAAAAACTTTAAAGTAACCAAGGTAGAAAATTAAGGGAAAAGATTTAACTTAAAGGCAGAAGTTATTTTCTGCTGAGAAACTACCATTACTGCTACCTGCAGCAGAGGACCTGGGTCAAAGATGAAGACTGTGATGGGGGGTTAGAAATGGGAAAGAAAGCACAAGTCTGGACTCCAGCAGGTACAGTGCTCTAGATAGACCAGTGGTCAGCAAACAGTGGCTCATGAGCCACATGCAGCTCTTTGGCCCCTTGAGTGTTCTAACACCACTTCTTCTAAACAGACTTGCCCAGGCCATAAACCGACTTCTGCGCATGGGCCACGAAGTTTTAATTGCACTGTATGTGGTATTTTGTGCAAGAGCCACAATCAAGGGGCCAAAGAGCCACATGTGGCTCGCAAGCTGTGGTTTGCCAACCACTGCTCTAGACCGAACCAAGAAGACTCTTCAGAGGCCAAGTTTTCAAGGCAAAATCTGAGGTGGATTTTAAAGAAGAGTTGAAGTTTGCCAGGATCTGCAGGGCAGTGGCAACTGGATCTGGGGACCAGCTCACTGGCCAAGACTCTGATATCCTCCTGAGAGGGGAGAGGCACTGAGGGACTGTAGGGGAAGCCAATCAATGACTCTAGCCTGCAAGATGGAGGACTTTATCAGGGTATTTAGGATGTTAAAGATTATCCAACAAGTTATGGCAAATTACTAAATGCTAAAGCTATTAAAGCAAGAATGCAAATGATCAAATTTATGTTTGAGAAAGGTCTCCCAGGCAGGAGTGCAGAGAAGGTGGCTAGAGCACAAGTCTTGAAGGAAGACTTGACAATGACTCAGAAATGGAGCAGAGAGAGCAACTTGAATCAGAATGGACTAAGGGGGTCCAGCTTGGCTGAACAGTGACCCCAGTGACCAAGAGGAAAAACAGGATCAAGAGGCTATAGAGTATGATGCCCAGTGGGAGCCTAGAGGAAGGAGCAATGGTCCAGGAGTCTTGAAGGATTTTGCCAGACAGAGGAGGAAGGGATAGAATCATGTACAGGAGGAGTAGAGACCTCAGGTGTCCAAATGCATGTTGTGTTCAGAGGCCGTGAATGGACTGGTGAGGCAACTGTGGACCTAGAGCAAGAAAGCCCTCCCCTCCCTTCCCCCCGCGGCCACTTAGACTGGGGAGAACCCCAAAAAGAATAAGGAGAGGCTTTATTTAGAAGGCTCTGAGGAGCTCCTGATGATTTTCCAGCAGAGGGAGAAGTGACATAGTCAGATGTGCAGATGAGAGACTTGCAGAAGGGGCTGCAGATCAGCCAACGGTCATTCAGCTGAGCTGTGATGCAAATAAGAACAGCTATGGCAGTAGCACAGAAAGGCAATGACAGTTTTGAGGGCCACTCTGAGCCTGAGATGTGGTCACTGATTCAGGCCAAGGGAGATCCAGTCCTGGATTACTGGGTGAATAGATGCTATAAAAGGCAAGGACCACATAAGATAGACAGTCTGGAGAGAAGGACAAGGAGTGAGAACTGACCTAGAGATAATGAGGTCATGGTGTTCTGTGCAATGCTGGAAAGTGGATGGGAGCTCAGTGGAGCCAAATGGCTGATCGAAATGAGGGCTGGTTCAAAATATTCTAAGAACTCAACTAGAGTAACTGCTCGTTGAGAGGGCAGTAAGAGCTCCTTAGTGCTGCTTCAGGACTGTCAGTTACCCACCGGGGCTCCATGGAATGAGTGCTGAGTGGGCCTGACGATAAAACGAAGACCTCTGCAGATAGCTTTTATAGACTGTGCTATGGTGCATGCTCCACTATCCTAAAGTGGGACACAGACCCTTGCCCCCTGGCCCTCCCAGGATCAGCCTCCCAAGCTCATTAGTGGTTGATGCACCTACTCTGGCGATAGAGTTCAATAAATCTCTTCTGATACTGGATTAGCTCGGCTCGACTGGGCACTTCATCAATCTTGCGATGCAGAATTGCTATTTCTCGATTTCTTCGAGCCTAAACGCAAAAGGGAGGGTGAGACAACACTATTTGATAAAAGGCCTTATGTGTTCTCTAGGAAGCCAAAACATTGCCCACCACCCACCCAGAGCACAGCCACATGTCCTGGAATGGAGGCCGCAAATTCTGCTGTTGGCTTGAAGTACCTGTCTCAGATTCTGATTTTGCAATACTCAGAAAAGGTGTGATTGCGACTGGAACCCCAGAGACATCAAATTAATGGGCAAGGAAGGAGGATAAGGAATGAGATGGGCTGTGTGGTCAGAGCAGCCAGCCAGCCTAGTAGGCCAGAAAGCAGCCAATTCCACCAGGTGACAAAGAACTGATGCCACCTTGCTGCCTCCATATAAATTCCAAATCTCTTCATGTGATTGAAAACCTCCCACAATTAAAACCTAAAATACCTCTCCAGTATTTTCTCTCTCCCATGGACTGGGGTATATTGGCCAAAGTGCCTCTCTGACTGCATCTGGGGAGACAGAGCAGTGTGGTGTGGTGCAGGGGAGCTCACCGGCTCCTGAGGCAGGCACCACCTTCCCCAGCAGGGCAGCTGCCTGGAGGAAGTCGCTCAGCTCCCCCTCCAATCTCAGGATTGGTGGGCTCTTGGGGCTGTCTTTCCTCTGTGCCAGCCTGTCCTCCACTCCCTAGGCCTGCTTCACTCACACGCAGAGGTGGAGCTCTGTATCATGGGGGAAATACAAGTCTCCAAACGAGAAGCAATCATCCATTCTGGTACGAGGGGAGGATGTATTTCTCCTTCTGGCCAAGGCTACATCCCCCATGGGTGCTCAGGCTCTGACTCCTGCTTTTATTTCAGGAATCTACTCTTCATTCTTTTTCATATGTCTCTAACCTTTCCCTTTCTACTGCCTCCCTCTCATCTGTACCTAAATATGTTCAAATATCTCACTCTTAAAAATAGCCCTTCCTGCCCAACTGGTGTGGCTCAGTGGTTGAGCAGTGGTTAACCTATTAACCGAGCGGGACCTATAAATACGTCAAACATAAACAATATCGGGAACGGGTAGGATGTATGAATAATTCTGGAAATATTTGTTGTGCCCTGAGAGGGACGGTATATATTTTTTATAATCTTTATAATTGTTTGTAAAATTTATAATTTTTTAATTCGATGTTTCCATTTTTTTGTTGATATTCTTTTCTATTTTTTTTGTAATTTTGTATTTTCCTTTGTGCTTTATAAACGAAAAAATATATATATTATTTATTTTAATTAAGTATAAATAAAAAGAAAATAATAATATGAAATTACATCCTCTGGGCGTGAAGTACTGACACGTCCTAGTGAAAGAGTACGCGCCCATTACAGGTTGCGTAATTAAAAAGGGAACTCTCCGGTTAACAGGTTTTAAGCATCCACCTATGAACCAAGAGGTCACGGTTTGATTCCTGGTCAGGGCACATGCCCGTGTTGTGGGCTTGTTTCCCAGTGTGGGGCATGCAGCAGGCAGCCAATCAATGATTCTCTTTCATCATTGATGTTTCTCTCTCACTCTTTCTTTCCTCTCTGAAAATCAATACAGATATATTAAATAAAATTTAAAAAGCCCTTCCTTAAACCCATCATGTTTCAGCTGCCAACCTTTCTCCTTTGAACAGCCAAACTTCTTGAGCGCCACATACCCTCTATTCCTCTAACTCTCCACTTCCCTCCAGCCAGCCATCCCACACTCCAGCTAGCTTCTTCAAAGACCCCCCTGAAACTGTTCTTGCCAATGTCATCTTTTTTGCAATATAGCCAGAGGGCAATTCTCAACTTCTGGCTTTCTTGACTTCTAGCAACATTTACCATTCTCTCTACTGAGCTCTGTGCTCAGCTCCCATGAGATCTTGTGCTCATGTTTTCCTTGCCTTGGGCTGTCCACATGCTCTGAACAGTTGCCTGGAGGAAGTCGCTCTGGTTCTCAGAGACTTAAACTTTCGAGTTCTGCTACGGGACACTTGCACCTAGCTAGTTGCATTTACGTAATTCTGTGCTCTTGTTTCTACTCACCTGTAGTAAACGGATCTTATAAAGTTTCTCTTTCTCCATATTATATCGTCTGTCTAGGTCTTCCTAAAAATTGAAAGAGGACAGTTATCTGGGAATACATAAGTTTCATTACTTGATAAAGTCTTTTGAAGTTGAATGCTTTTAACCTTTTCTCCCCAATCCTGAGGCCACGAATTCCTTTTCTCAAATGGCCAAGAGTCTGTATTCTATGTCATGTGAGGCCTTTGACACGCTTTAACATCCCTTATAACAATTCTTCCTTCTTCTGGGATCCAGGCTGAACCCAGTGTTCTTAAGAGAAATATCCCCCATATCCTTGTGCCTTTCCCTTGTGCAATTCAGCCCCACAAAAATCAAAATATGAGGAGACGATCATGACTTGAAGAACCTCTTGTGTCTGGAGGTGATGCTGGTTTGCTTTCTATGTTTCTATTTGGAGCTGCACTGTTCAATATAATAGCCATTGGCCACATGTGGTTATTTAAATTAACTGAAATAAAAAGTCAGTTTTTCAGTTGCACTAGCCACATTTCAAGTGCTCAGTACACATGTAGCTAGTGGCTACTGTACTGGACAGTGTAGATACAGAATATTCTCACCACTGTGGACAGTCCTTTTGGATAACAATGAATTAAGAGAGAAACTAGCCAGTTCACTGAACCCAATGAGGTAAGAGACATTGCAAGGTGGTTTGCTGAGTTAGAGAAAGCTATAAGGGGGCCAGAAGTATTTCCTACCCAATGCACACACACAGGAAAGGGAGAGGGAGAGGAAGAGGAAGAGGGAGAGGAAGAGGGAGAGGGAGAGGTAGAGGGAGAGAGAGAGGGAGAGGGAGAGAGAAAGAAAGAAACACAGTCTCCTCCACAGGGCTCAGCTGCAGGCAAACCCCACAGACTTCACAGGAGTCCTGAAGCTCTTGCTCCAAGGGCACAAAGGGAAAAGAATCCCTAAAGAAGGAGAATGATTAGAGGCTTTCCTGCTTCTCTCTTCCTCCTCCTCTCCCATTTCTCTTTCTCTTGAAGGTTTCCTGGCATGCTGGAGTCCTGGAAGCATTAATTTAATTCAGCACAGAGGTCAGCAAACTGTAGCCCAAAAGCTAATCTGATAGCCCTTGGACCAAATCTACCTCTGCCTATTTCTGTAAGTAAAGCTCTATTGGAACACAGTTTCATCCTTTGATTTACCTACCGACTATGACCACTACAGTGGAGTGGCCCACAAAGCTAAAAATATTTACTGGCTCTTTATGGTTTGCTGACCCTGTAATGCAGTACAATGAAGAGAGGTGTTCTTCTCTCTCACCAACCCAACCCCCAGAGCCTAGGGGTTGTGACCAGCATGTACGGCCAATGCAGGCTTCCCCTTTCTCAGCAGAGATGCTAGAGTAAAGACAGCACTCCTGCACAAGGTGCTAGGAGAAACCCTCCCTAGAATGGTGGCCTTCAGGGCCAGCCCTGGTGAGATCCTGCCTCTATCTGAAGAACCAGGTGTGCAAAATTGGTCATTGCTTCCAACATTCCAGATGAGGAGATGGCTGTAGAGAAAATGAAAGCAGGCATGAGAGAGTGCCACAGGAGAGTATAAAGCTGGCCACCACACTTGCAGAGAACACTGACTGTTTTGATAACGAGAAGGTACTTACATTATGAGTCATCACGGGGGTGAGGGCATCATTTGGCTCTCCACTGGAGAGGGTCTGAAACAGTAAACAATAAGAAACAACTCTGAGGAAGGCAAATATGATAGAAACTGAGGGTCTAGATGTAGGAAGCAGTGGTGTGGGGGACAGTTCACTGACCATATCTGGTCAGGAAACAGGGAACAGTCCTACATGAGCCCCAGATTTTAAATTATTCTTAAATATCTGTCAGTTACAAATAAGCTAACCTTGTCTTTGAATATAATAATCTTTCCAAGGAGATGTGATTGATGAGAAGAGAAATGGGATCCTAGAAGTCTGTGATGTATGCAAACTCAGAAGCTGATGATTTGAGCCTCAAAGGTTCAAAACTTTAATAACAACTGGAGAGTCAACCTGGTGACGATGGTTCCAGACACCACTGCCCAGCACGGCCACACTCTGGCATTTCCTTCTCACAGGAGGGGAGAGTAGCGTAGTCTGGCTGACATGACATGCCAGGCAGGCGGTATCTCCCTGCTGATATGCAGTGTCCCTTTCAATCCCTAAGCAAAAGGGCTGGAGAGCAGCCTGCCAACTGGCTTGCACAAGTTTCTTCCCCTCCCTGAGGCTCAAGTTCCTTATTTTTATGAGGGAGTTGGTACAATTTATGAGTCTGAGGTCATGTCCAACTCTCTCACCCAACCACAGGGGCACTTAGGAAATAAGTCTTGAATCAAGTGTGAGAAGGGGAAACAAACACAGCAGTGCTTATACTGGTAAGACTTTTTTCTGTCCTTGATGGAAACCCAAACTAGCTCCTCAGGAGACCTTGTCTTTCACCCACCAGAAGGAAGAGAAAGGGGAGGGATAGAAATCTAAATAAATCATGAGATGAAAACAGCTGAGAAATGTGTGCGCAGAGGACCAGGTTAAGGAAACTTGTCTTTCCAACCAGTCCTTTCACTGGCTAGTCCTCCAGGAAACTTTTCAGTCTGAGTCATAACAGCGCCTCACAGTTCAAGCAGGGCCTTTACCTTTACTTCTCCGCCTGGAGCTCTCTCCGCTTTCAGGTTTTCAATATCCTGCTGGAGCCGAGTCATTTCCTCCTGTGAAAGTGATACAAATGTTTATGAAACGTGGACAAGCTAGAAACTGGATGCACTTTTTACCTTGACCAGAGTCTTATTTTCGTACTTTGTGAGTTTATGCTAAGACAAAAAGTCTATTAGGAACTAGCTGCCCTGATCTCCCATTGTCAATTTGGGACAGTTTTTTCAGGAGGCGACACAGAGCTTGTGGGGCTGCATCTCCTGCCTCCTGCTGTGGTCATGGGCACTTGTGCACCCATCACCCCCACTACAAGACACCAAGTCCTCAGATGGCAGAAACTAGGACTTATACACAGGATGAACAGATATCCTAGGTTTTCAGGACATCCCTGCTTTTATATAATATTATCCCTTTATATTTGGTAAGACTTTTCTTTTAAATACATTTGTAAATTAGAAAACATTGTTTGTAAGACTGTTTGGCATACCCGGTGTCCTCAAAGGGTACCTACCATGGTACTCTATTCCTTTTACACAACTGATTGAGGAATTTTTTTCTTTGTTTTTTGTTGTTGTTGTTAATCCTTATCCAAGGATATTTTTTCCACTGATTTTTATGGAGAGTGGAAGAGATGGGGAGAGAAAAAGAAAGAGCAACATTATCAATGTGAGAGAGACACATTGATTGGTTGCCTCCTGAACATGCCCTGTCTGGGGCTGGGGATAGAGCTTGAAATCAAGGTACATGCCCTTGATCATAATCAAACCCATGACCCTTTAGTCTGAGGGCCGAAGCTCCAACTGAGGAGCCAAACCCCAAACTGGCTGGGACAGGAATCTCCTTTTCTGAGTGCACCTGGATAGGATGCGACATCAGGACAAGGAGAGGGAAAGCAAGAGATTTTACAAGATTCCTGGTTTAATGTCTGGTGACACCAAGCAACACTTACTCGACAATGTGCTTTAAACTCCTGTTCCTGGCTTTTTAGGTTTTCATTCATGGCTACAAGTGCTCTCAAGTTCTGCAGAATACTGAAAAGACAAAAAATGACATATGGCAAGCTATTATGATTTTATGAATCACAGCTAAAACTAAGTCCCCAGCTAAAAAAGGAATCCCTTTTAATTTCCTTTGTCTCTCCCAAGTGTCTAATGGGTTCTCCACAAGTGATTAAGACTGACATTATTATTCATTTATATGCCAGAGTCCATTAGCTACATCCAAACAAACATTACAGAAACCAGAATTAAAATGTCAACTGCAGAAACATCAACCAATTTCAAAATACTGGATATACTTAACAATACCAATTACTCAAACATATTCAAAGCATAGACAGTATGTAAAACCATTTTTAATATCCATTCTGAAAAGGAAACATGTTGCTGAAGGTCATTAAACACACTCTTTTGAGTATAAGAATGTCAAGTATCTAATAGTAGTTTTGCTCCATATCATGAAAGAGCTTTCTAATTATAAAGCCAAGTAAGCTGTGGGCACTTCCTTGCTAGCATGTTCATCGAACCCAGAACCACTCAATCTGGGCCTGAAGCTTAATGATTTAACTATCTCATTCAAGTGAGTGACAGACACTTCGGAGATTTCACCATCCAAACAGCTTAGTGACAAAAACATCAGATGTAAGTGCTTTATCTGTATAATTTAAATAGTCTAAGTACATTTAATTTAAAATGGGGGGGGGGGACACACAAAAAAACAGAGGCTGATTTTTGGCAGAAAAAATTGCATCTTTACTCCCAAGGAGACATGGCTGAAGTGAGTGCTGTCAAAAACTGGTAACAATGGTTGACTCCTGGGAGAAATGGGTGTCTGGGGGATGGGTGGGAGAGAGACTTTTCAACATTATGCCTTGTGTACTGTGAATGTATTACTTAGTTTTAAAAACAGAAAAATGAAAAAATAATTAAAACTCCAAACATACTGCTTCTGATCTCCAGGGCAATTGGGAGAAACAGGCAGCCCGAGCACATCTTAGCATGTGCCTGAGTGACAGATACATTCTGGATAGCACAAAATTAACTGACCTGTACGAGGACAAAAGCAGGACCCCTGGCTTCTGAGTCCTGTGAGCCAACCAAGTAAGCCAACAGGTATTGGCGAAGTCCCTTTCTCCAAAGAGAAAACAAACACATGCTAAAACCTCTTACCTAGGATCAGCTTTGGATTCTATCTTCTCAAGGGCTGCCTGCTCCTTGTCCAGTTTCTCACTGTGACTCCTCAACTGCAAGAGAGAATGGAGGCCCTGTTGCTAGAGATTTGGTAACACAGAAGAGGGAGCACTGCCATTCTCCTTCCCTGTGATTCCACCTGAACTCCACTTCTGACAGGTGGCCAAGCCCACAGGACTTAGCTGAACACTGAGAAACAGGTGAACAAGAAAAATAGGATGGGGGTGGAGGGAAAACATGGGCAGGTTAAAACCAAACTCTTCTTGACGCATATTGCTTGCTGGTCAACAAAACCTTGGCAACAGCTTTCAATCAAGAAGCAAATGGTTATTAAAAGTCAAGATTAATGTGGACAGCAGATGCCTTTCAGTGGGGAGGGGAGAATAAAATGAGTGGCTGTGAAAGACAGACCTGGGTTCAAATTTCAGAATGTTAACAGGGAACAGGGGTAAATCTCCTTTCTTTCTTGAATATTTTCACCTCCATTTCAAGTCATATTGTGAGGTTTTTTAAAAAGAAAATTTGAAAAATAAACTAAAATGTACAACTATCTATACTAGTAATAGAGGAATATGCAAATTGGCTGGGATGCTGTCATGTAACGACCAATCCTGCACCAGGTGTCTGAAGGGCACGGAGAGGAAGGGAGAGCAGATAGGTGGTTAGAGGGATCAGGCCAGGAGAGGAGCACAGATAGGCAGTTAGGGGAATCAGGCCAGGAGGGGAGTGCAATCAGGGCCATCAGGCTGGCAGGAGAGCAGTTAGGGGCATCAGTCAGGTGAATGATTAGGAGCCAGTGATTCTGGATTGCGAGAGGGATCCCAGATTGGAGAGGGTACAGGATGGGCTGAGAGACCCCTCTTCCCTTGCACAAATTTCGTGCACTGGACCTCTAGTATTATATAATAGAATACTAACATGCTATTAAAAATAATGCAGTTTTTATAAATATGAACTCTAATATCTACTGTTATGTGAAGAAAACAAGATACAAAACCATAAGCATAATATGCTTCCAATTAGTATAAAAAATGTATGTACATTAAATGTATGCATGTATAAAATATGCAAGTTACTTATATATGCATACATTACTTCCAGAAAGATTCATAAGAAGCTAGTCACACTACAGTCACCTCTGGAGAAGGTAACTGTGTGGATGAGTTCCTGGAGTGCATGCACCCTTTGTACTTTTTGAATTTTGAACCATATAAATGTGTTACTTATTCAAAAGAACAACTTAAAAAAAGTTCCAAGGATTCTAGCTGAAAATGAAGGACCAAGTACAAGTTGCAGCAACCCCTTCTTGCCTCAGGTCCTAAAAATCCAGACTATTATGTTGGAACAAGGGACAAGAAAAATTGCCAAGAGACAGAGATGGACTGAGAAGGCCTACTGTGTGGAATTAGCAGATGCAGAAGGACTGACATGCATCAGGAACAGCCAGGTGGGTCAAGCATCATGGCCCTCAGCCCATGAGCTAATTCAAGAGCTGGCGTTTGAGTCACAGAGGCAGGGCAAGGCCCCAGAGTTAACAATACCCGGGAGAAAGGGTGAGTTCTCCAACCCCGAATATTAGTTACCACCAGCTGATCCTACCGAAGAGTAGGACCCCCAAAATAATCACATGAACCAAGCTGCATAAAATAGATACAGAATCCACATCATTCATAAAAGGAAATTTGAGAATCAAAGATAGTAATACCATAAAAAATTATCAAACATCTGAGGAAAGATAATGCCATAAAAAAGATGTATTAACTCAACATGAATTTTGATATGAAGAAATAGTTTATAAGAAAAACTTCAGACAATTAATGCCCTTAGAGAGAGGACAAGATATTGCTTATATTAGGAAGGCTCAAGCTCACACATAGGAAATTAAAGTTCTGATTACTGAAATTAAAAAGTGGACAGCTAGAATCTGGCAACCAATGCAGGGGCCAGCCAGTCTCAGATCTTCTTACAGTGGTGTGCAGCTTCCCCCACAAATTTTTTATATATTTTTTTGTTGATTTCAGAGAGGAAGGAGGGAGAGAGAGAGAAAAAAAATAAATGATGAGAAAGAATCACTGATTGGCTGCTTCATGCACACCCCCTACTGGGGATCGAGAATGCAACCTGGGTATGTACCCTTAATCAAAATCGAACTGAGACTCTTCAGTCCGCAGGCTCAGACTCTATCCACTGAGCCAAACCAGCTAGGGCCCCCACAAATTTTATAGTCACCTGTTCTCTATCCATCATGCTCTGCTTTATTTTCTCTGATTTACTGGAATGATGGGTCTCACCGTTTTTTTAGTGCCACTAGGTTATCCTGGAAGGGTAGCTTTTGCTGAAAAGGTAATACCTGGGAATACTGGTTTAAAGGGTACAGAGTATTCACTTGGCCAATCTTTGCCTAAAATAGATAAGGAGACTGAGGCCCAAACACCAAGCTCATTATTAATCCAGGGTCCTAGACTTTAGTACTCTGACCAAATCAGGCTCCTTCCTCAGTAGTTCAGAACTAGGTTTAGTAGAACTTCCCAGTTTTGTCGATGGGAATTAGTTTGACTGTCCCTCTAGTCTCCGAGAGGTCTTTGGTGTCAGACTGACACCCTGGCCTGTGCATGACCTTTCTGCCTTAGTTTCCTTACCTGCAGAACAAGTGTGTTGTTAGGGCTACTGGGAAGATAAAAGGGACTTATAAAAGTGACGTGCCCAGAGCACACCCAGCAAACACTAATGCTGGCTGCCATTATTATTTGAGGGTGGGAAGATTATCTCTTATTATTGACTTATATTACGTGTTTACCTTTCTGAAAGGGGCTCAATAAATACTTGATTTAATGTTTAGTACAAAAAGCCACTTTATAGTCACTTAGGATTTATATCCTAAGGCATGTATGTGTTTTAGGAAGTTGATATTAAGATGTTTTATCTTTGATCTTTCCCAGATGATTGCAAAAAGACTGATCCATGACTTGGCAAACTTCACGTTAGGGACTTTGCAGCATTAAAGGACAGCAGTAGAAATTCCACCCCAGGAGTTTGCCATCTAATCCATAAGGAATGTAGTCACAGAAGAATAGAAAGAAAGCTGATCCTAATGCAACGCAGGCATCTTTAGAAAGAATTTTAAACAATTTACTCTAACTGCCCTTTTTAAGCATTCTGACAATAATCAGAGTTTAGTCCAAGTCAAAATTGAAAAGCTTTGTCAGATTTTCAGGCTTACAAGTGCTGCCTATTGCTATCTATAAGAATTTAAAGGGTAAATTTCATGTAAAATTTTGAAAAATAGGGACTGGTTTGGTTTCAGAAATGTCTTGAACATCAGTCCAGTTTCCACAAAGTCCAAAAAGTACTATGTGGGGCACTTTCAGTGTGGCCCTGTACAGTACAGCCACAGCTTGAGCTCTCTAGTCCCAACAAGAGCTTTTCTGGTCCAGATGAGGGTAGCTCTATGGGTATGAAAGGGCATAAAAAACTCACTCCCTCACGACAGACCTGGTATCAGAGGTATTTGTTTCCTAGAATATCAGACATGGAGGGAAGCAACACTCTAATGATGATGTGAGGTGGTACACTTGTGACCTGGATTAGAAAATGAATCACATGCTTCAAAATATACCAGTAAACCCTCTCTTCCTCCTGAGACACCTCCCCAACCCCAACCACCCCCCCTAGGCTTACTCAGTAATTTTGAACAGTAAATTATTGATATATCACTGTGATCCTCTCGTATTATAAACAGAAACCGCCTCACTCTCATGGATTTCAGTATTTGGAACTATTCTACAACTTGCAGCTTGAGGAGTAGGGGCCACTTACTGTGATGACCCCTCATGTTCTTCTATGTGGCCTGCCCCCACCTATGTGGCCTGCCTTCCTCAGCAAGCCAACTCTGATCTCTCCCACTTACATTGTGGATGGGCTAGAACATGGAAGCATGGATAAACTAGTGGCATGGGTCAGCACTGTCATATGATTGTCCTATGCCCCCAAATGGACCTGAGAAGGGAATCCTGACTCCTTCACACAGACAGATGACACATGGCATTCATTAATAGTGCAAGTCAACATGATTCTTAAGATGACCCACGAGGAAGGAAAATCTGCTCACCTCTGTCAGTGTTTTCTTTGTTTCATCGTATCTGGCTTGTAGAGTGGTATGATCTGCCTGCAGCTGTAAATGAAAGACAGAAGACATTGGCTCTCATTTGATCCTTACAACACAGATATGGATGAAATCCCCATTTCACAGATGAGAAAATGGAAGCTTAGAAAGATTTAAACTGCGCAAACATGGGAATTTTAGAAAGGTTGCCAAGAACAAATGAAGAGAAAACTCCTATCTAATTAGTATCAAGTACAGGTCATGAGAAATGCTAGATAGTCTGCATAAATCCTATCATTGAACCTTATATTCAATGGGAGAAGACATTATTCTTATCTTACAGATAAGGAAATAAAGATTCAGAAGGGTGAAGTGACTTGCTTTATAGCTGACAACTGATAAAGCCTCGATTTACATTCAGGTCTAATATTTCTATCTTGCTACAAATGATTCAGTTAACCAACTTGCCCATCACAGAATACACACTGCATTTCAGCACTCATGATTCTAGCACAGAATATGATTGGCTGGCAAATAACGCAAGATAGAAGAACTTAGGACTTCAATACTAACAGAAAGAAAACGAATTACCTTTATGTTCAAAGTTACATAAATTGTAAACTTGCATCTCAAAAATGTCGTTTCCCTTTTTCTTACTGAAAAGGTATAGTCTTGTGCTGTCTATGAATTTGTAGAAATCTGAAAATGTTCCATTAAAAATTCAAAGGGTTGGCATGTTTCTACTTTTGAAAGGGGGAGTAGCAGACTGTTACCTGTATACAAATTAACAATGAGAAATTTTATCCTATAGCTCAAAAATTATGACAAAATAACTTGCCCATCCTTGAACCTGTAAGCAACTTATTGAAAGCAGTATCATCTTCAGAAATCATGACTCCTCAATCATACTTCTAATTACCAGCCTTCAGACTGATGAACAAGGCCTACCAGGAAGCCAACTCAAGCAGAGAGCAGAAGTGATGAAGGAGGGAAGCAGGTGGGCTCTGGCTTCTTCCTTTTCAAAGGGAGCCACCTGTGTAATGAGAGCTTTTATTAACCTGTTTTTGCAATTGGCAGATGAGAATATTTCTGGAGAAAGTGTTTTGTTGTTGTTTTTTCTCTTGAAATCCTAGTGATTTAACTCTTTATATTCTTTGGGGCTCCAGGAAGGAATCCTGGCATTTTCCCCTCCTCTTTCACCCACCACCCTGCCCTCTTCTCTCATCCCTGCACCCATACACCTGACATTTACCCAAAGCTCTGCTCAAATGAGGTGAATGGGAGGAGACTTCGAACATGACACAGCCCTTGCCCTCACGGAGCTGGACCAGTAAACCGGGGAGTAAAGTATGAGAAGAGTAACCGCGGACAGGCCCAGGGGATGGAGCCTATGGAAACAGTCACCTTACTCATCTGGGATTACAAAGACGGACTTACACAAGGCTGGATCTTGGCAGGGAAGAGATGCGTTCTAAGAATGGAAGACTCACCTCTCCTCCAATTAATTTAACTATTTAGAGTTTTCCTGGTCTCATCTGACCATATTTATTTAAAAAGGAAATGTCTCCGTAGCTAGGCTAAGTTTTCACCTTGCTCTAATCCTCCATGATTCTCCTATCTCCATTTTCTTCTTCATTAACCTTCATTACTCCCTAAATTCTGTGGATCAAGCCCACAACCCCAGCATGTGCCCTAGACTGGAATCGAACCCGGGACCCTTCAATCCGAAGGCCTACACTTTATCCACTGAGTCAAACCGGCTAGCACAATATTTTCTTTCTTGATTCCTCTTTCTTTCCTCAATTTCTGGTGTCTTCTGAGTTATCTACCAGCGGTACTGCAGTTCTGTGCCACAGCAAAATATTCTCTTGTTGGACCATGTGATGTCCTCTACTCCTTCTCCTGCTTTTACCATCTCCATTTCTCTGTTGGGGTAAGACCTTCTCCACGGGTGGATCTTGGTTGCTCTCCCCATATATTACTATGAGGAGAAGTTCTTAGATGTCAAGTTTTGATTCTTTCACATACTATTGATAGAACTGTAAATTGGTAAGCTAATTTATAAATAATTTGACAGTTTTGGGCAAAATTGAAAAGGCATATATTTTTTTGATCCAGTAATTCTACTTCCTAACATTTATCTTAAATAAATATTTACATACTGGAGGTCTGGAGCATGAATTTGTGCACTGGTGGGGCCCAGCCAACCCTCCTGATAGGGGTTATCGGGGGCAGGCCAGCTGGGGTGAGGGGCCATGGGTGGTTTGCCAGCTGGCCCCACCCCCACTTGGGGTGGGGGGCTCTACTCTGGGGCAGGACCAGCTGGGGCGAGAAGCTGGGGGCATTATGGTTGTTCCACCATTCAGTCATTTTGCATATTACCCTTTTATTATATAGGATTTGTACAATGATGGCATGAAGGTATTCATAGGAGCATAAATTTGCAATTGGGAAATAAACCTTGGAAAAACCTATATACCCATAAATGGGGAACAAGTTAAATAAATTATAGTACATATATCCTATGTCACATTAAACAGACATTATAAAGAATGAGGTAGATCTATATGTTCAAATCTTAGTTGCACTGCTAACAAGCTGTGAGATCAAGGCAAAATTACCTCTTCTATGTGTCCATTTCCTTATTTGTAAATTGAGGATAATCTAGTCATACCATCCTGAACATGTCTGATTTTGTCTGATCTCGGCAGCTAAGCAAGGTCAGGACTGGTTAATAGTTGGATGGGAGAGGATAGTAGCAGTAACTTCTTCATAAGGATGTTATATGAAATGAAGTAGTTAATAAAAAAAGATACACCTTGTAATTACTTAGTAAAAAAGTTATTAGCCATTATTATTACTGAAAAGGAGATATTTTTAATAGAAGAGGTTAAAAAAAAATTCAACCTTGTAACTAGACAACCCACTGTCCCCAGGTAAATGGGCATATATAAGTGCTTGCAAAGGCCTAGAAAATCAAGGCTGGGCTAAGAAGTGAAGCATTTTTATCATTTTTTAAAAACATTTAAAAAAACATTTTAGAGAGAGGAAGGCAGAGGGATAGAGAGATAGAAACATCGATGAGAGAGAAACATCGGTCAACTGCCTCCTGCATGCCTCTGCTGGGGATCAAGCCCACAATCTGGGCATGTGCCCTGAGCGGAAATTCAATCGTGACCTACTGGTTCATAGGTTGACACTCAACTACTGAACCACACAGCCAAGCAACATTTTTATACTGGAGGCTGGAGCACAAAATTCATGCACGGGGGGTGGGGGGGGTCCCCTCAGCCCAACCTATACTCTCTCCAATCCGGGACCCCTTGGGGGATGTCCGACTGCCGGTTTTGGCCTGATCCCAAGGATCAGACATCCCTCTCACAATCCATGACCGCTGGATCCTAACTGTGCACCTGCCTGATTGCCTCTAACCGCCTCTGCCTGCTAGCCTGTCACCCCTCACTGCCCCTCCTGCCAGCCTGGTTGCCCCACGCACCTGCTGATCAGTTGTTTAGTCAATCCCTGCTAAACCCCTGCCAGCCTGATTGCCCCACACAACCTGCTGGTTAGTAGTTTGGTCATCCCTTGCTACCCACCCTGCCGGCCTTGTTACCCCGCACAGCCTGCTGTTCAGTTGTTTCTGTGAGGATGTCATGACCAATTTGCATATTACTCTTTTATTACAGTGTTTCCCCGAAAATAAGACATTCTCTGAAAATAAGACCTAGTGCATGGAAAGATAAGACATCCCCTAAAAATAAAACCTAGCGCAACTTTGGGAGAAAAAATTAATATAAGACACTGTCTTATTTTCGGGGAAACAGGGTAGTATAGACAGTTCTATATTATTTGGTTTATTTAGAGTCAACTTGTATGATTCCTATAATTAAAAACAACACATAAAAATGTGTAGGAAGCATTTACAACTTGATGAGACAGGAAAAAAAAAAAGTGTTTAGTACATCTACACGTGTGCATGTACACACACACACACACACACAGTATATACTCCCTCACTGTGGCTCTCTATTCAGTATGAACCAAGAAATAAGTGTAAGATGGACATACAAGGCCAGATGAGATGGCCAGAGAGGCAGTTAAGGAGATAATGCAAAGAACTAGGTTTGAAGCTCTAAAGACCTAGATTCTTACACAAAAGGCTTGCTGTTAGGATTGTTGTTTGTTGCCCTGTGACTTCTAACAGATAAAACCAGACACTATTAGAAGATTAAACAATTCTGTAGACCAGCTAACCTAGAAGTGAGCAATCTTTTGTAGCAGGGCAAATTTAGGGACAGTAACAAAGTTTAGAGGCTTCAGATTTTTTTGATACAACATTCCAAATTAAAATGGGTTTATTTAGCAAGTAACCTAGAAAAAATGTATATTCTTATAGCTGAAATAATTTTTTTTGGAAAAAATGTTTATGAAAATGTTGATGTTAATTTTGAATCTTCATAAAACATTCACATCTAGGCTTATTTTGAAACATGCTCATCTTTGGTGTCTTACATTTGTATAAAGCTTTGGTTCATTGAAAAGTGCATGCCTGTTTACATTTTTCATTTTGTCCTTAAAGCAACTTCTCTAGGCACATGTTTATCATCATTTGAGAGCCCCTAACCTCATATGTGCTATGTGACCCCTATTAAATGTCTATGTCTCTACCTCATTTTCCTCATCTAGTTGGCCTAGATACAGAGACAGGGGTTACTGCACATGCTAGGTTATCTTTAGTAACACTAGCCACTGCAATAATGATCACTCTCCTTTACTGACTACATGTTAGGCAGTATTCAAAAAAAATACCAGGCTATTGGTAAACAGTTTCAGAGATGCTGCCCTTTCACCTGGATTAAGAATGTGCCAGGACTGCTATTGGAAGGGCACACAGCATTCCTTCTCTCCAAGTTTAGACAGGATTTGAAAAAGAAAATCTATCTATTCATGTTGAAATAATCTGGTTCATGGGGTCTGCAATATCCTCCAAACTGTCCTTCCTCAGAGGACAAAGACATTCTGATAGATAAAGCCTCATTCTTGATTCATGCTCATTCACTTCTGTTCTGAGTCCTTTTTAAACCAATCACTTTCAGGTTCTTTTCACTGGCAAGGGTCAGGGGTAAAGATAATACTTTCTGTACTGGAAATTAAAATGCCTAAACAAATTATCAAATGAAAACCAAATCACAGTCCACCTTGGAATCCTTGTTTGCTTATGATACAGAGCATTTGGTAAATCTAGCCTACTGTTTTTTCAGCTGTGGTTGAACAAATTCAATCAAAGAAATGACTGGGTAGGACCATTTGATATACTTTGTGGGATTTGAAAAGATGAAAAATATACAAGTTCATAATGCAAACTGGCACCAATTTTTGGAAAATCAATTGTTGCAGAAACTACTGGTGAACTGTTCTTTAGAAAGCCATATTCATTCCCATCTTCTGTTACATGTATTTTCCTAATTAAATATTATTGCCAGTGCAACTGAAGCATATAACATTTTCTCTTCTAATGACTGTTCCTGAGTCAAACTCCCCAGCTTTCTCTTATGCCTTCTTTTTCAAGAATATGTGAAGGTCTTTCTAAAATAGTTCCATCTATCATCAAGTATTAGAGAATGCCAACTCCTAAAGCTAAAAAATGATCTGGTTTCCTCCATTTCCCCTATTACCACTAATCAAAGCCACCAAAAGCTCATGTCTGGACCACTGGATCAGTCTCCTAATGGTTCTTCCTAAACCCCTTCTCACCCAAATCCAACGAGCATGAGTTGGATTACAGCTCCTACAGTAAACAGAATGGTCTTTGAAACAATAAAACTGATTCTGCTACTCTCCTACTTAAAACCTCCAATGGCTTTCACTGTCCTTAACTTTTACCTCAGGGATTTTGTCTGATCATGTTCTGCCAACCAGCTGTCTCACTCATGATTCTCCAGCCACAAGAAAAGATATTGGCCAAGACCTATCCTTTTTCAGGTCTTAGTTTATATTATTGCATAAGTTCTCACCCAAGCCCCACAACTCCCACGCAGACTTCCTGCCCAGCCAGAACCTACTCAACAGGTCTCCCTTCAAGTGCTTTCTCGACTCTCTAGACGCCTCCTTTAAGCACTTACCACAGATGTAACTAAATGAGGTGTGTGAATGATGAAGTATATGTCTCTCATTATTATTTGGAGATCCTTGAAAGCAGAATCATAACTTGTTCTCCATTCATCCACATAGTTTAGTTTAGTTCCCAGCACAGAGGTACTGAGTAAGTATTTGTGAATAAATGCTACTCTTGCTCTGTGATCTTCTAGAATAGAGGTTGGCAAACTTCTTCTGTAAGGGGCCATATAATAAATATTTTAGGCTTTGTAGGCCATGTGGTCTTTGTTGCACCTAGTTAACTCTGCCACTGGAGCTTGAAAGTAGCCACAGAAAACATACAAACATACAAACCAATAAAACTTTACTTACAAAAAGAAGTGGAGGCTGGATTAGCATAAGGACTATAGTATACTGACCCCTGTCCTGGAACCTCCTTTGACCATTCTACCACAACAATCTTAACTCCTTCCCCAATTTTTACCTTCATGAAGAATAGTTTCATTTGACATAAATAAAGCTATAAAAGGAAAATACCAACCTCTTCCAGATGTTTGGTCTTCTGCAGAATCTGCTTGTTTAAGGAAATGACTTTCCGATGATGAAGTTGAGAGGTTCCTAATTTTTCTGGACTTCCTTCAGCTGACAGCTCAGACTGCTGTGGAAAACAGAGAGGGCAAATCCAGATTTAATTAATCCACCTGAATTCATGTAAGATAGCTCCATCTCTGCCCAGTCTGGGCAGAGCACCCGTGCAAACCCCAGGTCCAAAGAAGACTGGCACAATGACCCACCCCTATCAATGGGATCAGCACCTCTGGCAGAGGGAATGGCATGTGCAGAAGCAGAGGAATATGTAACAGAGGTTTGTTGATAGCATATAGGCAATGGGGCATCATCAAAGGGTCTTAGAGGAATAACATCATCACATTAACATCTTTAGAATACAATTCTGGAATTGTCAAGAATGATGAATTGATTCAATTTCATAAAGTATTATAAGCATACTAGAGGCCCAGTGCACAAAATTCATGCATTATTAGGGTCCTAGTGGCTGCTGGCTGTCAGCTGCCAGCTGGGTACTCTTTCCCTTCCCTCAGCTGCCTGCCAGCTTTGCTCCCTGGTTGAACTCCTAGACAACCACATGGTTGAGGGGATAATTTGCATACTACACTTTTATTATAGAGGATGGTTAAAAAAGTATAAGCAGTCAGAAACACTTGGACAAACACAGAGACTCATAAGGGAGAGATTTCTGGATCAGGTGAGGTAAATGTAGCAACATTAATGAGAAATCACACAAACAAGGAAGCAGCCTGGTGTAGATTCTGAATACAAATACATGCCTCAAGATACCAAAGAGAAGCTCCCCAAAAAGAAACAAAAAAGCTGACCTTGTTGCAACAGGTATACTTAGAATACTTGTTGGATGATCAAAGATAACTTTATTACACAGTAAATGCCCATTTAAACCACATTTCCTTTTTTATGGAAGCATCTCAATTCCAAGTGAATCACTGACTTTAAACCTAAGCGCAACAAAACAATTTGGATATCTGATTTTTAACAGTGATCATGAGCTTGAAAGTCTAGAAAACTTACCCATGGGGGAAAGAATGGGAAAATGAGGAGAAGGAGAAATTAGATGTCACAGTCATCATTTATTTTGGCTAAGGACTTCCCTGAATTATTCAGCAGCATTATTAACAGATGATGAGGGTGTTTTTTTCTCTTTTTTCTTTTTGTCCTCCCCCTCCCCCCTCTCCTCCTTTTTGCTTCTTAACAACTCTGGAGGTAGGAAACAATCAGCAGGATATGGTTGCATAAAATAGTAAGAAACATCATTTTCTATTTTGTGGGCAGGCCATAAATTAAGCATTTGGTTTTGCAATATAACTAGCCTTGAAATCTGGGATTTTGGAAAATGTCAAGTAACATATTCCAGCTTATCTGGATTTATTGGAATTGGAGTTACCTTTTAAAGATGCAATTGGGCACAACAATATATCCACAACGTGGAGTCTGGGGAAGAAGAATTGTTTCTGAAAATCATTTGAGTACAAAAAAGGAGGGGGCAGAGAGGAAAGACCAACCCTTTTCAATTTTCAAGTCACTTGTCAGAAACACAATTATAATTAACTAATTATATCTGCTCTACTTTGAATGCATTACCCTAAACTGCGTGTTATATATTTAGTTGCTTTTCTCTTCTAGATAATTTCATATTTAGGTTTTAACACCCATTAGACCTTGATTTCTAAAGTGTCACTGGAATATTCTCAAGGCATTTTACCTTACTAGCAGAATTACATAAGCCTTCTATCTCATCATTTATTGACATTTGAAATAGAGTTAATTCCCCATTCACAGGAACTGTCCCATATGGTAGGTCTCTATGTTTGCTTTTCAGATCCTCTTGAGTACCCTGACCTCCTCCAGCTGCCTGCCTGGCTTTGGAGCAGAACAAGCTGTGGGCAGACAGGCCTGGGGGATCAGTTCATGTAGGCAGCTCCTGTCTGCAGGGGTGAGCACACATTTATTCAGCACTATTCTGCACTTGGGCTTGGGCTGGATGCTGTCTTAAACTCTTTGCAGGTTTTCCTGCCCATTACCTGACTTGATGGCCTAGGTTCCAAGAGAATGAAAATTGCATTTCCCACCAAGTTCCACACCATCTTATCAAGTTTGCCTGGTACACACACAGCTTTGTTTTAACCTGTTAACTGCCATGTGTCCAAAACGGAAACCATCCCCATTTCTTCCAGGTGCACTGGAATATTTATGAATTTTAAGTTACCATAATTTCTTTACAAACCCAGAGATGTCACTGACAAGATCACTGTTTAAAATTGGGTGACTAGAGTTGATATGCGAGGTTTGTAGCTATAGAAGCTTATGGTGTACAAAGTATTAAAACTATGACCTTTGACTTCACTTCCAAGAACTCTTCATGGAGGAAAATCAGTAGCTATCTTTTTATCTGAAAGATTTCCAGGCTGGCCTCTTTTTCTTTCTCTTGCTGGCTATTTTATTTCCTTTCTCCCTTCCTTCCTTCTCTCTTTGTCTCACTGTTTCTGTCTCGCTCTCTCATGATTTTACAGTGAAATTTTCAATACATGTGATACCATCGCTTTGATGTTAATATGAAATGTACTTTTTATTGTCATTTGTAAATGAATTAATACATAAGCTACTGGGATCTCAGTAATTTTTAAGAATTCTAAAGGGTCCTAAAACATAATTTTGAAAATCACTACTTTAATCTAAGGGGCCTGATGCACTCAGGAGTTATGGTCCCAATCACTGGAGTGGGCTGACCATCATTTATACAACATTCAGAGGAGAAAGTTCTTTCTAATTCTACTTTTTTTTTTACTAGACAGGTGATTCACAGAGGGAAAATACTTGCAGTGCACAGAAAGGTTTGAAGTCTTTGTACAAATGTACTATTGTATCTCCTGAATGATAATATACTAGTGGCCCAGTGCAAAAGGGGATTAGAGAAAATATTTTAATATTGCTATTTGTCCTTTCTCTATAATAGAAGTGTCAGAGATTAAAGAAAATTAGTAAATGAATATGAAAATCTTCCTCCTGTTAAGAGTCTGGGGCACACCACAGAACCCAGAGTCAAGTCCCCGCCCACTGACGTGCGCTTCAAAATTGCATAAGACCCAGACCCAGCTGGACCCCTCACCCCCATTGGGCTAGATCCAGAACCAGCCGGTCCAACCCACCCTTATCAAGCCCCGCTGGGCGAGTGGCACAGCCTCAGGTCCCCTGGCCCAGCACTGGGGAGGGAGGAGCAGCCTGAGCGTGGTCTGAGGTCCCTCATCAAGCCCTACCAAGTGGGGGGGTGCAGCCTCAGGTTCCCCCCATTGGGGGCGTGCGGCCTGAGATCCTTCAGCCTGGTGCCAGGGTTGGGAGCACAGCCTGAGGTCCCATCAAGCCCTTCTGGGTGGGGGGCATGGCCTGAGGTCCCCTGTCAAGTCCCGCGGGGCTGAGCAGCGTGGCCTGAGGTCCCCTGTCAAGCCTTGCTGGGTCGGGGGCACAGCCTGAGGTCCCCTGTCAAGTCTCACACCCACAGCGAGGGGGGTGCAGCCTCAGGTTACCCTGCTGATTGCTTGTTAAGGCTCGTTATAGGAACTCGGCCTCTGCTGAGGGTGCAGCCATCTTGTCTCACGGAAACCCTTCCTCCGCTGTGGGTGCCGCCATCTTTGTGATGGAGCAACAGTCAATTTGCATATTCCCTTTTTATTATATAGGATGTTCTCAGCAAACACAGACTTTCAAAATCCTTTCTCTTATTGCTAGGTAGTAATTCTCATTGCTCTGTGGAGTCCCTTAAATTTGCCCCTGCAAAGCTTTAATGTACATTAATATCAGAAAAGTAAGTGCCATTTCCATATTTGACATTTCTCAAGCCCAATTAGAATGAATAATGTGCAATAAACAGGTCCATAGTACATATAAATTTGTAACTTCCTTCATTGAGTTCCATCCAACTTGGTCATCTTTTGAGTCTAGAGATGGTGCTATGCAGCCCTAGCTGGTTTGGCTCAGTGGATAGAGCACTGGCCTGAAGGCCTAAGGGTTCCAGGTTCGATTCCAGTCAAGGATATGAACTGCAGTTGCAGGCTCCTTCCCCAACCAGGGGGTGTGGAAGAAGTAACGAATGGATGTGCGCGCCTCTCTCTCTCTCTCTCTCTCTTTCTTTCTCTCTCTCTCTCTCTCTCTCTCTCTCTCTCTCTCTCTCTCTCTCTCTCTCTCAGATTAATGTTTCTCTCTACCTTTCCCTCTCTCTTCTACTTGTCTCTAAAAATCAATGGAAAAATATCCTCAGGTAAGGATAAAAAATAAAAATTAAAAAAAATTAGAGATGGTGCTATGCAAACTGCTTTGTTTAATGGGAAATTATTTTTGCACAGAAAAGTCATTTATTCCAGAGCTAAGCTGCAAAGAGTTCTTAACCTAGTCAGGGAAAAGCTGATTGCTTAATTTTTCAAACATACCTTTAATTAAGCAATCTAAGTTTTTAATTTCTTTCAATAACCTCTATGCAACCAAAAGCATCAGACTGATGAAGGCAGAAGCATGTTTTTAAAACAGTATGTCTCATCTGACATTCTGTTGACTGAGAGTCACACTGGGAAGAACACTGAAGATGACCAAGTTGGATCTTGAAAGATGACATAAAACTGTCCTTTTAATAATAATTTGATAAAAAAAAATTTAAGTCCTTGGGCATCTAAACTGATTTCTACTTGAAAAGTACAACATCTCTCAAAAAATACCAGCCATGTACAAATAATCCATTTGTGTTTACACTGGAGTGAAGGCAATAGAACCAATCTAATTATGTTCAACAATTTCAGATTAAGAACGTGCTTTCAAAACTACAGCATGGATTAGATGACTTCTAGTGCAGATTCAATGTTTTCTAATAACTGACATATATTCACAACTTTCATTTGAGTGGAGTCAGATATAAATGTCACTCAATAATATTAACCCAGTTCAAAATAGTAATTACTCAGAGAAACAAAAAAAATGATTACTTTAGCTAAAACTACATACTTTGATAATGAAAGAGACCTAAAAGCTTATTTATATAACAACCTTCTTGCTAAAACAGGAATCTCTCCTATGTCACGCCCCCCTCCTAAAAATATAGTTAGTAAGTTGTCAATAATAAAGATCCCTATCACAGGAGGGTGTCCAAAGTTCTCTACTAAACAGATGAACTTCAGTTTCTGTCACCTTGATGAACCTTCCTACTAAAAACAGGTTAATATAAAAAATTTATTTTTAATCTTTTAAAAAATCTAAAGCTAGCTAGAATGTATGACATCCTGGATGGCCAAAAAAACTAGTGAAAGTGGAAATACAGGAAGGTTTTGTATACCCACTGAAATTGGCTTTTTTCTTCAGCATATTTGAAAAACCAGGTGATCTCAACATTTGATTTTTACAATTCAACACCTGCTATGCATAAACCTTGACACAGGTGTAAAAAGGGAAATATCTGCATTGAGATTTTGTAACAATAGATTAGCCTACAGATATGCACTCTAAATTTACACATTAACAGGATGGTTCAAAAACCCATAAGTCAATACTGTAAGTACAAGCTTGGGCTGGGTGTCCCTAGGTGTCTGTCAAAAACAAAAGCAAATCTGATATAGAAGAACAAAGCTTCAACTCTAAGCCTCAAACAATTTCTACAGATAAATTTCCAAGAAATATAAATTCACAGTCAAAAATCAAACACACACAAAGTAAAAATATCACGAGCAAGAGCTAGCAGAAAGACAATAAAATTAGATGTGTAAAGACTCAAACAAGTACCCACCCATTCCTCCTTGAAGCAATGGAGATTAAATGTAATCACTCTTTTAAAGTTCAATTTATCTCACCTAGAAGGCTCCACAGCTTTTTCCTTTCTCCTTTTTATAACAAGACTAGAGGCTCCGGGGATCAGGCCTAAGCCAGCAGTCAGACATCCCATTTGAAATCAGGGGCTCTGATTTCCAGGACTACTTGCTTCTTACCACGGCAGAGGCTCCCACCACAGCTGCTGCGCTCACCAACCTGAGCCCAGCTTCTGGCTGAGTGGCACTTCCTCTGATGAGCACACTGACCACCAGGGGGCAGCTCCTGAGCTGGAGAGAGCAGGAGGCTTGAGTTTCCCCTGGCCATGGGGGAAGCCAAGCTTTCAGCCTGCCCTGGTTACAAAGTTTCAATTATAGAAGATAAATAAATCCCAAACATCAGGGCCTCTCTTGACCCCCACACCCAGGGCTAGCCTGCAAACCATCACAGCCCCTCACCCAAGCTTCCCCACACCCCAAGGAACTCCCACCCTGATCCAGGTCACCCTGCAAGGCAAACCAGTTGGTCCCCACCTGTGCATCAGGCCTCTATCCTATCTAATCCTATATAGTAAAAGAATAATATGCAAATTGACCGTCACTCCAACACACAAGATGGCTGCCCCATGTGGTCAAAGATGACTGCCCCCATGTATTCACAAGATGGCCAGCTGGGGAGGGACCAAGTCTTGCAAGGGAGGGCAGTTGTGAGCGATCAGGCCGCCAGAGGAGTGTATTTGGGAGGGACCAGGCCTCCAAGGGAGGGCACTTGGGGGCAATCAAGTCTGCAGGGAAGGGCAATCAGGGGTGACCAGGCCAGCAGAGGAGGGAATTTGGGGGTGACCGGGCCTGTAGAGAAGGGTAGTTAAGGGGAACCAGGCCTGAAGGGGAGAGCAGTTTGGGGAGACCAGGCCTGCAGGGGAGGGCAGTTAGGGGCAAAAAGACTGGCAAGAGAGCAGTTAGGCATCAATCAGGCTGGCAGGAGAGTGGTTAGGGGGTGATCAGGCTGGCAGGCAGAAGCAGTTAGGGGCAATCAGGAAGGCAGGCAGTTGAGCAGTTGGGAACCAGCAGTCCTGGATTGTGAGAGGGGTTGTCCGATTGCCCGTTTAGGCCCAATCGGGCAGTCGGACATCCCTTAAGGGGTCCCAGATTGGAGACCCCCCTATGCACGAATTTCATGCTCTGGGCCTCTAATGTGCAATAAATGTGATATGGAATTAGGATTAATGGCAATTTAATTTTAAAAATCATCATCTTTAATGCTATATGATCTATTCAATGCAAACAACACAGATAATCAAGCAATGAACTCTTGTCCTACAATTTTAAGAAGATAATTATGTCTTTGGAAAGAGACCTGTCCAAAATGACTTCTAATTTCACTCTTTTCTGGCATTTTGAGTAAGACAGTGAGAAAGCAGGTTTCCACTACCTGGGGGTGAGGTTCTCTTGCCCCTCCAGCCAATACTTCTTAACACTGTTTTCTAATCCATCTTTCATAGAATCCAAAGTGACCTCTATTTCAATTTACAACATAGGGAAGGTGACAGTGGTCAGAATGCCATTTATGGTTTTCCCAGAAAAGGACTTAGGTTCTCCTAAAAGTGCACAAGTATATCTTTACGTCTTTTGAGCTTATTTGGTGGGAGATGACCATGTGCTGTGTTTATAGATTACATCTTCCAGACTAAGTCTCCCAGATTACAGGTAGTATCCCTTCTCAATTACAGCACCCGTGTAATCACTTCAGAAGAATATTGCACAGGGGTTGAAGCAGAGCTAATTTTTGGTCACGGCTTCTAAGACAGGAAAGCAAAGCTGGAAGCTGTAATAGACATGAACATTTTAGGGGGGCAGAATGAGTATGGTGGGGAAGGAAGGATGTGAAACAATGCCCTGTAAATCTGATTTTACTGATACTACATCTCAGCCAGACCAGATTCAGTATGTGCAAAATGATTAATCACTGTCTCCCTGAGATATTCAAGGTCCTGCTGCCTATTCTCAGCATGAAAAAAATCTAACACTGAAATAATGGCTTTCAGGCTTCTGTTCGTTCTATACTCTTTTAATAAAGTGGAACAAAAAATTTTGCCTTGGGCTTGGCTGAGTTATGGGGTTTATCTCTTCTGTGGCAAAGCTTCATTCCTCAGCCCAATCACCAAACTGAGCCCAAGTCATAAGAAGCCTGGTAGAGAAGGAAAAATGCCTGTGCTGTACCTCAGGCATCGATTTATCAGATACAATAATTGCTCTGAGAGACAGGTTTTCTCTTTATATTTATAGAAAAATAGGCACTGCAAAGAAAATTAATTTAGCTAATGGGCAAATGCTGATGGCTTTGTGTGACATATATGTTTCTGACAAACGTAACTAATGAATTATAACATGCCTCCATCACTGCTGGGGGAGAGTGTAGAGAAAAAGGACAAATTCTTGGGGTATTACCTGAGGCAAAGACTCCAGTGAGCCCCCACATACCTTCTCTGCGTACTCGGACGCAATCTGTTTGATCTCAGCCGAGCAGAGTCCCACGATCTGGCCCACAGAGCTTGCGGTGAGACGGCTCTACAATCACAGGGAGGGTATGTTCTCAAGACCATACCTTATCTTTCACAGAATTGAAAAACCTAATGCTCTAAGGAATACAGTAAAATAGGTAATATTCCCAGGGGAGAAAATAGTTGGGCTTTTGTTTATGGAATTCATCAACAAGAGAGAAAACAAGCCTTGGGACAAATGTGAATCCACCTCTCCACTTCCTGAGTCACTCAGCTTACCGGGTCACATTCTCTTTGGACCCCGGGTACCTCTGGGAAGTCATTCTTCCCCCTATATACCCCATCCCAAGGTCTCTCTTCCTAAAGGTCACTATACAGAGCCTGCAGGGAACTAGCAGGCTTAGGACCCAAGGAAAAAAGAAGTGCAAATGGGAGAAAAAGAGGACTCTCAGAATTCCTAAAATGTTCTATCATAGGTCTTTCCTGTTTCTAAATAAATGATCCTTTCAAAGCTCTTGGTTAAACTTTCTCTAGAGGCCTTCTGAGAAGACCAACTCTAAATCTGGTTATTGCATTTTCTACCTAGATGGTACAGGAAGGAAACAAAAGACAATGGCTCCTTTGGCATGGGATTAGCTCATGGTTATGGAGAGGCTGAACCATGGCTTTTCCGCTAAGGACCATATGGTACTGCCCTAGCCCTCAGGTCTTCCTCCTAGAGGTCCCATGGTTGGGAACACTAAAAAAGTTTCTCAAAAGGCCGAGACCGGTTTGGCTCAATGGATAGAGCGTCGGCTTGGGGACTGAAGGGTCCCGGGTTCGATTCCGGTCAAGGGCATGTACCTTGGTTGCGGGCATATCCCCAGTAGTGGGTGTGCAAGAGGCAGCTGATCGATGACTCTCTCTCATTGATGTTTCTAACTCTCTATCTCTCTCCCTTCTTCTCTGTACAAAATCAATAAAATATATTAAAAAAAAAAGTTTCTCAAAAGGAAGATTTCTAGGGAAACGGAAAACACTTGCGTGCTGAAAAGACAAGGCTCTGAAGGTAGTTCCTAAGGGAAGAGGCCCCAGAGAGCCAAGCAGGTTAGTTCCAAGTTCCCATCTCCATACCATATCCTCCCCAAGGATCACTCCCACCTTACCTCCTCATTTGCCATGGCGGTCATCTTGGTCATCAGTGATTGAATACGCTGCTAAGAGAGAAATGGAGAGAAGTAGCAGTAAGATTTGTCACGTAAGACACAGCTATGTCTAAACAGGTCTTTGTGGTGGAAACTAAGGGTTGTTTTATTGATCTCCTTTTATGGTTTTCCTCACGAGAGGTGATAAAAGGAAGCTGGAAAGGGTGTAAAAGGCCAACTAACAGCAACTGGCTGTGAGAAATGCCTGGCCATTTTGGAAAGTTGAGGAGGAAAGTTAAGTTTCTCCCCAAATGATTTAAACCAAAACCTCAGGGACCACATGGGCCACATACCTCTTCAGCAGCTTGAAGCTCATCCTCCTCATGGGCATCAGCTTTTTCTGTAGCTGAGAGCCCTGTAGGAAGTGCCGTTTTCTTGTCCTCAGCCTGGAAAGGAAGATTCAGAAGCAGCTAAGCATCAGAGTTGGAGACTCAGTAGAGGAAAGAAAACACTGCAAAAAGGCATGAGTCTGTGAAAGAAAACACACAGATCTGGAGAGCTGAACCAGTCCCTGAGAAGAATGGAAAATCCAGACACCTGCACTTCCATTCCAAGTGCAGAGCAAGCAGGTCCAACTTCAGGCCCTGGCCAATGTCTGTTACTGAACTGCTTGCTGATTAATCCCTATAAGATTGTACATATTTGCCTGACTTATCCTTACATTTTGATGGGAGATCTTTCCCCTATTTTAATGCCTTCAAGAGCAGATCACTGCCTAAAGGACTGTTTTTTTGTGTTTTTTTTCAAACTGCCAGTTGAAACCTATTAGTGGGACATGAAATAATTTAGGTATGACAAGCATCTAAACAGACTGAATAAAATTTACAGAAAAGAAGAGATCAGAGTGCTATGCAGGTAGTCAAAGATTAAATACTGCTTTGTGAAACTGAAAGTCAACAAAGTTTGAAAACCACTGGTTTAAGAGAGAAAATTCTAACCTGCTTCACCTGCTGATCATGCTTCATGTTCTGTATCTGGTCTCAGGCTTTAAATAGACCACACCACACTCAAGATACCTGGATTAACTACTGTTCCTCAAACATAGACTTGAGTTCTTGAGTTTTAATTCCATGTCTATCATCTACCAGCTGGGCAATCACAGGCTTACCTTCTCTGGATACCAGGGACTTCTAGGGTTGAAAGGGAGGACTGGTCTCAAATACCCTTCTCAGATCATCCCAATTCTAGGGTGCTTTTTTATAACTAGTCTACAACTGACCCTGGGGAACACCTTGAGCTCCCAACTACTGGGTATATAATATCTACAGGGTATAAGACTTCCAGTTCAAATGTGCCATCTGACATAAGACTGACAAGACAAGCCAGATGGGAATGCCTATTTATGGGCATTTTATGATTTCTCCAATCATAATCAAATGGTCTTATTTCATAATTTAGTCACATGCATAAACATGTTTTTCAGACTTAAATTACACATCAAACTAAATGTATGCATGAAATTCTTATATACCAGATGCCACATGACATACTTAAATCCAGAAAATACCTTGTTTTGGAGGAAATAACTGTTTAGTTGTGTGAAAAACACAAATGTGGAAAAAAATAACAAGAAAACCAAAAAAGATAAAATCAATGCATGACTGATTACTAATGAAATAATAACTACATGTTTACTCTATATTGGATCATTCCATGTCCTTTACATTTTAATCTTTACAACAGTGCTGCCCCCATTTTATAGATGCTAAAGAATTAAGGCACAATAATTGAGCATATAGTCCAAAGTCACACAGAGAAGGGATGAAGTTAGCAGCAAATCCAGCTTTAGAACACATGCTCCTAGTCATTGTCAGGGCTCTTCATGACAGAGACAGCAATTACCACAGGAATAAGAGGAGGCGAAGGTCAGGAAGGGCCTCCCAAAAGAAAAACTGAAAGATGCGAAAGCTAGAGAGAGAATAACAATAGGTGTTTCATTAAAGAAAATCTGGGGATTAGATGAGGAATGAGAAAAAGGTTATTAATAGGCCTCAAGCAGCAGGATTCTACTTTTTAAGAGGCCACTGACTTCTTTCGTTAGCACTTTATTTTTTAACAGGCAGTGGTTAAAAGCACAGGCTTTGATGTCACACAGACCTGGATTCAGATTATTATTATGGTACTTAAGGAGCTGTGTGATCTTGGACAAATCACTGAGCATCTCCGGGCGTCAGCTTTCTGACCCGAAAAACAGGAATTAGTATTTTCCTCAGAGAGTTGTTCAGAGGAGTAAGTGAAAAAATACATATGTTGCTCTGTTCAAAGGGCCTGGAGCATAGTAAAGGTTTGGCACTGTAAGATTTATGTGCAGGCCCTACTGCTGGCATTAAGGATAATTAATAAATACATAAATGATGAAAAATCTTTGTGACTGCTTTGTGAAGTTAGAAAAACCCATTTTGACTTACCTGATTTTCCCACCTAGTTACCTTAATACAGGCAGGCCTGTAATTTATGGTTATGCTCTATCTCACTGCCAGCATCCTGCTTCCACCTGTCTAGGATCACTCTCACCGGGTGAGGAGTGCTTAGGTCACTGGTAGTGGAGTTCACCTTCACACTTTTAGTATTATATTATTAGGGCCACAGGATTGAACCAGGGGCCATGACTTTCAATTACCCTCCAGTTCTAGCCCCAAATGAGGCTGCTGCTTCAGCTCCCTGGCCTGGGAGGCATGTCCTTTCCGCCCTGGGGTTTGCCCAAGGAACAGAGCCTGGCTGGCAGCAGCCCTGTCAATCCATGCTGGGCAGTCTGTCAGTATCGGACAGAGGCAAAAGGGTGGGTCACTTCCATCTCTCAAATTTTCTCTCCCATTATCTATGCTTTTCTTACCTTCTCTGTTTTGCTCTGGCGGCTAAATCCATATCTCCTGCAGGCCACAAAAAAGGGGAGTTCAATTACTATTCAAAAAATCACATTAAGTCTGTCAAATGCAGTTTAGTTGAATTTTTATATAAAAAGCCAATTTAGGCTATTTGGTGACTGGAGAAAATATTTTAAGTGCCCAAACCACAAATATATTCCACTGTTTTTGAATAAAGAGCCCGCTACCCTATTCACCATATAAATGCTTAAACAGGAACTCAGTACAGAGTACAACATTCCCTTTAAGTACATTCTCTTTACTTTTTGAAGAAGGAACTATATTTCAGATTCACAATTTTAGCTAAATGTCTTGAAAATATCTGTATAAACAAATGTGAATGTATTGCTCAAGCTAACCATACTCTCCAATGGCTTGCACAATCTCCAGTCCAGCCCATTTTTTCCTTTCAAGCATACAGAAGCATTTTGCCAGTAATATTGTGTGTGCCCATCACTCAACTTTAAATTCAAAGACATTCACAAATGCTTTTTAATGTAAATTAGTTTATTTTCTGGCTCTAATATATATATAGTATAACAATGCAAAACCATTCAACCTAAAATAAAAAAAAAACATGATGAAAAATACCAACCTCACTTACCTGTAAATAGTTTATAAAGACATAAAAATGACAAGCAACCATTAAAAACAAAACAAATTAAGGGCTCCTACTCTGCTCTCACTCATCCCAGGCCTTACCTAATAGATCCTTGTACTGGCCTCTCACCTGGTCTCTGACCTCCAGCTTCACTCTACTCCCACTCCTCCTCCCCATTCTTATCCAACTTCCCATTGTCCCACAGGACAAACTGGACCCCCTGGGCACTCTCATTAGAGTTTCCGTTCTATATGGCCCTGCCTAACAACCATTTAGCCTCATCTCCTGCAAATCACCTTACATGCTCTTGTAAATCCATTGCATGAACAGAGAACTTTGCACACACACTGTGCTGTCCTCTTCTCTCCTACTTTCCTACTCACTCCCCACACCTCAGCTCTAAAGCCACCTCTTCTCCAAAGCATCCTCATGCACAGACTCTCTGCCTTGGGACTGTACATGTCTCCCCACTTCCCGGATATTTGCATGTCTGCATCCTTCTCCTGAAGGCATTGATGCTACTTTTACATTTGGTGTTTCCAATGTATGCTGAATAAACTAAAACAAGTGAAAGAAAACACTGAAAGCCAAAAGTATTACCTGACCATGCAATAGCATTGTTATACCATTGGAGAGACCACAAAATCACTGCTGGGCACATTTCCATCTATTAGACATAAATCTATAGATCCAAAGTGCAGCAGATCGAGGTTAAAGGTGAATTAGAAACCACATTCTGTAAAAGACTTCATGGCAGATTCTGTGAATTGGCTTAGTCAATATCTATTGCATCTTTCTATAGTAGGGAGGCTGGAAAACAAAAAACTGTGTTCCGTACTCCCTATACTTAGCATGCTGAATGCTGGTTGGACTCTACCAATCAGGTGCTTGAATGTGCAACTGTTAAATGAGGTGAGAGGAAGGTCATAGAGGATTCACTGTGTGGTGTGGATCACAGAAGCAACTTGGTTTGGGGACCCCAAGCTGTCACAGTGGCTTCCTGATTTTGGCAGAAGTGGTGTGATATTTTTGTGAGCAGCTGCAGTACCAGCTTCCCAATTTCTCAGTCCTCTAGACAGCTTCCAACTTGGAGGCCCAGTTCCAATGTGATGCTTGGGAAATGACCCTGGCTCAATCAAGATTCCATGTTTTAAGCTCATGGATCTCAGTAATCAATCCTTCAGTTGAAACTAGGGGAAGGGTTTTGTATTCTCAACCAGGGAGCCTTGACCAATTGAGGATTTCACTAAGTTTCTGTTCCTAGCGGTATCTTTGCACCTTGAGTATCTATTTGTTTTCCAGATTTTAGTCTGTGGAAACCCTAAGGACATAAGATATACCCTTAGGCAGACATACCCTTATTTAAGGCCCAGGAACTCTGCGGATTTTCCAAATTAAAGCAGTCAGCTACTAAATCTGAGCAATTTAATTCCCAGGTAGAATTAATCTACCCTGTCCTTAAAGATGAAGAGTCTGGAAAGACTTCTCTAACCATCCAAAACGAGGTTAGGTCCCCAGCTATGTGTTTCTATGTTTACACCACTAGTGCACTTGTCCCACAGTGCACAGAATAACTATGTTATGTGGAATCTGACTTCTGAGTTCCTGGAGGGGTGGAAATGCATTTACTTCATTCACTTTCATGTTTTTTAAATTGAGATGTGATTCATGTAACACAAAATTCACCATTGTGAAGTATATATCTCAGCAGTTTTTTGTCTATTCACTATTTTGTGCAACTATCACCACAAATTCAAGAATAGTTTCACTGTGCCCCAAAGAAATCTATACCTATTAGCCATCAGTGCCATTTCTCTCTCTCATCCCCTGGCAACCAGTAATCCTTCTTTTTCTGTGGATTGCCTATTCTGGATGTTCCATATAAATGGAATCATACAACATGTGGCCTTTTATGCCTAATTTCTTTCACTTAGCATGTTTTCAGGTTTATCCATAATGTAGCACAAATCAGTACTTAATTCCTTTTTATGACTAAACTAGAGGCCTGGTGCACGAAATTCTTGCTGTGTGTGTGTGTGTGTGTGTGTGTGTCCTTCAGCCCAACCTGCGCCCTCTTGCAATCTGGGACGCTGCATGCACCAATGACTAACATTTCATGTAGGTGAAAGGCATTTTGCTGTTGTATGGGCAGCTACATTTTTTTGCCCTGATTATAAAAAGTATTACATAACATGATCCTTCTGAGGCAACAGTACCGTTTGCCTCATCTTTTGGGTAGAAAAACTGAAGCAGAGAGAAATTAAGTAATTGGCTTTGTCACACAGTTACTACTATAAGCGTCAGAATCAGGGCTGACCACAAAATGTGTCAGAGTCCATGCATGTCATCACTGCATCATCCTGTATTTTCAGTGTTAGAGAAGCTTTGCCAGGTTTTAATTTTTAAATCTAAGAGACTATTCCCAATATATAGGGTAAGGGTCACCAGGCCTGGCCTGCGATCAGGTAAGGGTCACCAGGCACCTGGCACTGCCTACTTACTGGCCCTGACGTAGGACAGCCCTCTGGTGGTCAGTGGGCATCATAGCAACTGGTCGTTTCACCGTTTAGTCAATTTGCATATTAGGCTTTTATAATATTATATAGGATAATAGCCCATTATGGATAAACCACATTTTGTTTACTCACTCATCAGCTGATGGATATCTGTGTTGTTTTGACAACTGTGAATAGTGCTATTATGAATATTCATGTACAGCTTCATTCACTTTTGTATCCCCAGCAACTCTTATAATGCCTGACACACAGTAGGTACTCAATAAATGTTTGTTGAATGATGAGTCCCGATGATTTTTCTAAAAGCTTCCTTCTCCGTGAGACATTATGGCAATGCTTCCATTGTGACAAAGAAGAGTTAGCTGTCTTCAGTTGCCTATTAATGCATGCCGCACTGTGTACACTGACTACTCTCCTAATGTTGTTTAAGCTTCACTAGAACATGGTATTCCCTTCGTGGCCCATCATCCCTCACAAAGAGCAGAGGGAATTTCAATTTACTTCTACTACAGAAGCATTTACTTCTCTCTATCCTCTCCCTAGGTATGCTGCTCTATCCTACAACCCCTCTTTCCTCTTGCCCAGTCAGGCCTACCCTTTCCTCTCTAGAGTTGCAGTGCCATATGCTCAATCTGCTCCTGCCTTCCCCTTGTCAGCTCTGACTTACCAACTTTGCTGATGTCCTACAATGTCAGCATCAACAGAGCTCCAGCCCTCTTACCTAAACCTAGTAGTTGTCTTAAACATTAAGGATGTTATTTCTAGAATAGCATATATGTTCTAGAATAGCATACTCCAAAAGAATATAACGAGAGCCACATATGTGACTTTATTTTATTTTATTATTATTTTTTAAATATATTTTATTGATTTTTTACAGAGAGGAAAAGAGAGTGAGAAACATCGACCAGCCGCCTCCTGCACACCCACCACCGGGGATGTGCCCGCAACCAAAGTACATGCCCTTGACCGGAATTGAACCCGGACCCTTGAGTCCGTAGGCTGATGCTCTACCCACTGAGCCAAACCGGTTTTGGCACATATGTGACTTTAAATACGTAGATTCATATACTCTGATAATAATAAAGATATTCTGATAACTAAGTCAAGCATGAACTTTAAAATTTTAAATGAAAATTCTGTTCATAAGGCACACTAACCACACTTCAAGTGCTCAATACCTACATGTGGTTAGTGGCTACCTTAACTGAATGTCACAGTTCTAGAAAACAAACTAACCTTCAAGAACAATTGCCCCAGGATAAATTAAGACATATCAATCTATCTTGAATCTGAACAAATCAGGAGCATAAGAAAGCCTTCAATACTAAGGACTGTGAACTCTGTTCTTTGTTCGTTCAACAAGCATTTACTCTATACCTTCTAAGAGCATACATAGGCCTCACTATCATATGGGATGCACTAAGTACAGAACGACTTCAAGGCAATTCAAAATTAAGCCTCAAATAGTGTGAAGAGGTTAACGCTAGCATCCTAGTGAATGGGCTTCAAATTTCCACTTGCAAGTCAAATATACTGCATATAAATTTCCCCGCATTGGCAGTTTTGTATTATGGTTAAGTATTTAAGATAGCTTCTAAGAGTTGATTGGGATCATAATAAAATAAAAATATTATACAGTGGCAATTCTGTTTACGTCTAAAATAAAAATGATGAGTCTTGTTTTTCCAACACCATAACATTTAAACAAATACAGCCAAACATCATTTTAATAGACACACAGTCCTTAAGGCCTTCAGTATGATTGACCAGGCTCAAAGTCCAGCCTTATTTGAGCAATGAAAGTCAAAAAGAGGCGAAGACGCTGGAATGCTGACCTCAAAGCCAGGTGCACTGTGGGCCTCGGCTGATGAGTGACAAGAATACTAATGAAAGATGAGGAAGTTTTTATTTCTAGGTGGGGATGAGCAATTAGGGGTGCACAACAGTGAGGGGTGAGGCAGGATGGAGCAGCCTGCTTGAATGGGAAAGGGAAGGTAGACTGTTGAGACTTCCCATAAAAGGGCTAGAGGTTGGCCTAGTCCTAGGAGTAGTGAGTATACAGAGACAAAGATAACTGAAAGGGAGGCTTAGGAATCTTCATTTGAATCTAAAGATCATATTTAAGGGAATTTTTTTAAAAAATATATATTTTATTGATTTTTTTACAGAGAGGAAGGGAGAGAGATAGAGAGCCAGAAACGTCGATGAGAGAGAAACATCGACCAGCCGCCTCCTGCATACCCCCCACCGGGGATGTGCCCGCAACCAACATACATGCCCTTGACCGGAATCGAACCCGGGACTCTTCAGTCGCAGACCGACGCTCTACCACTGAGCCAAACCGGTTTTGGCATATTTAAGGGAATTTTAAAACTGAAAACTGCTGCTGCTCCTGCTACTGTTGGGGCCTAATCGTTAACATCCACTGTTTGCTACAGAGGACAAACTGTTGAAAGTTCTTAATTCAACTATGTAACCCACATTTAGTGGTAAAGATCCCCATGAAGCGGGAAGTCCTGAGCAGAACTGTGAGGAGAGAGAATCATATCCAGATAGGAGGGAAGGGGACTTCCCCAGATGGGAAATAAAATGCACACCTGTTGGGCCTTTAAGTTTTTGTCAGTTTAATAATCACTCTCTTCTTGTTAGGTCTCAAACCAAAAAACAAAGACTGGGCCTGTCCTTCTAAAACTAAGAGCCAAACTCTCATTGGAGGCTCAAACAATAATAGTGTAGATAATGATAAGACACGTTTTTAGACTCCAAGAAACCTGATTTTAAGTCCTACTTTAAGACTCTTAATAGTTAATAGTTGACCTTGGGAATAGTATTTTTTAATCTTTCTGAATGCTGTTTTTATCATTCTCAGAAAGGAAAATAAACTAAATAAGTTCTAAAAAATGTAGTCAGTATTTTCTTCTCCACCTCTCAAAAATTCACCATTCCTTACCAGCAAAGCTATAAAGAAAGCAAAATAATCCCTCTTCTAAAAAACAAAACCAACATCCACCTTCCATCCCATCTACTTAGGCTTAGAAGGCATGACCTCACCAATAGGAACTAAGAATGGTATTGAGACACTTTGCGCTTTCTTACACTCCAAATTTGCGAGGAGTCACAAACAAAACCTTACTCCCTTCCCTAAAGAAAGATAAGCTAGACTCTGCCGCACACTGGCCCAAACTCTCCTGAGGATGAGCAGGAATGTCCTAGATTTATCGAGGATAACAACTATTATCTATGATATATGCAAAAGATCTAATGTGAAACAGATTTTCAAAACAAAATAGAATATTAAAAGTTGTCAACATGGTCTCCATAAAGTGGACAATTCACCAAATCTCTGACTCCTTTTCAGTCCCAAGAACGTTGGCGTTTCCATGATAATGGGAAAATTAGAAGAAAGAACATACAAACTAACAAAGACACAACATTCCCCTAAGTACTCCTTGGCTCTGAACATGGTGCTACAAGCAGGTGCCTCTCCAGTTCTGGCTTTCCCTGAGCAGTACAGCCTCACCTGCCCACCTGCAGCTGGGGCGTGGCTGGAAAGACCCATCATAGTGCCTAGGGCATGCAAACTGTCCAATCGCAAAGGGCACAACACTCAGAAGTGTCCCACATTTGTATTTTTGCTATCTCAAAATTCTTAATGTTAATCATCTTCTATATAAGCAAAAGCCTAAGTGATCAGACAACCAGATGGCTGGTAGCTATGACTCACACCGACCACCAGGGGGCAGGCACTCAAAGCAGGAGCTGCCCCCTGGTGGTCATGTACTCCCACAGTGGGAGCGGTGCTCAGCTGACAGGTAGGTGCCAGATGCTGGGCTCACGGCTGGTGGCTGGCAAGCGCAGCTGCGATGTTGTGAGCCTCTCCCACAGTGACACTCCCTATGTGCTGGAGCAGTAGCAGCAGCAGGCACAGTGGGGCCAGGAAGAGTAGGAGCAGCACAGTGCCCAGCCAGGACTTGGGCTTCTCCCCAGCCACCTGCCGCTTCCTACATTACTTTGTACTGTGCGGGATTGATGTGGACAGCAGGCAGGAGCCAGACCAACTGGCAAGTAAGGCTGGGCTGCGGCAACGTGGAGGTCCACTGATCCCTCCAGGCCAGGCGAGGGATCCCACCAGTGCACGAATCTGTGCACCAGACCTCTAGTTATTAATAATTCTTAACAAGGGGCCCTGCATTTTCATTTTATACTGGGCCATGCAAATTATTAGCTGGTCTGATGATGCCTCACTCAGAAGAGTTCAATTCACAGCAGCAACTGGTGAGCTGTATAGGCAGCCATCACACCGGCTTAGGGCCAGAACTCACAGCTTCCTTTGAATGAAACAGACTAGCTTCGTTCTCAGGAAGGAAGGACTTGACCCCACACAATCCCTTCAAAAAACAAAAGCACAGCAATAGCAATTCCATTTGAAAGATGGAATACTTAAGCCAATTAAGCCTAGTATCCTTTTGGTTCTCTCCAGGACCTAGAAGAGGAAGCTATCAGAGGCTCACTCAGGAAGATGCTAGTGGCAGTGCTGTTAGTTCCAGCCACCCAGTGAGGGCTGGGTTACTCAGCAGAACAGTACACAGCAAACACTCCCAGCAAAAAGGAAAGAAACCAAGGAGACATACTCACATCAAGGAATCAGTTACCCTAAGTAGAAAATGCAGGACATAAATGAAGGTTAATATCCAGTGTCAACCAAAATATTCAATGGGGAGAAGTACTTCCTTATGTGTATCTCATTAGTAAAAACTGAAGATATAAAATAATAATTTTTTTAATAATTAGAATGTTTTTTTTAAATGACAAAACTACTTCTAAATTCTTTATTTTCCTAGTCAGGACAATTCTTCAAAGAAAACCAAAATTATTATTCTAACACTTAAAGTAAAACTGTTCAAAAAATCTTTAGTTTACCTGAAGATTTTATCAAATAGCAGAGATCTGAAGGGCAGACCACCCTCAGACTCCACAAATGCCCCAAACTCCCAACCCCCAAGGAGAACAGAGTTAGGGCCCACAGTTACACATGCTCCTAGAGAGGAGTTTCAAAGATTTGGCCTCTACCAACATCAGGGAAGCAACCCCCAGAAACTTGGGTAATTCGATACTAGAGAGAAAAGTTCCAGATGCTGGAAAACTTAGGCCCCAAATAGTAAATTCCATCAGGTAAAAGCCAACCACACTAATTCCAATGAAGAAATTCAAAATAGCTTTTCTTTTCAAAGGGTTTATAAAATAGGCACTATAGACTGGGTCCCATTCATACCTGCCATATTCCAAAAGTGTAGCGTGGATTCGAGATTCTTCATCGAGTAGCTCCTCTGCCCCCTGTTGCCGTTTGTATTTTCGACGGGGCTTGTAAACATCCTAAGAAGTGTACAAGACAGAGGAATTACTGAGTGTGAGAAATCTCTCACACTGAACTGGCTGCTGAATGTGAACATCCAGTCAGGGAATCGGTATTGTCCCCATCATAACAGCAAGCTCTCAGGAGAGCTTCCTTCAAGGAGTCTGCTCCTTCAACTTTTATATAGGCAGCAAATATTCCACCCAATCTATTGCTTGTTAACTTTGTTATAACTTGGTGTTTTTGTCCTAAGACACTTTAATCTTTTATGTAGTCAAAATCATCAATTATTTTTTATCTTACTTCCAATCCAGGGCTTATGAAAAAAAGTTGTCTGTTACTTTTGTAGGTTATTTTTAGCCTTTTCATCTATTCATATTTTGAGTTGCAATAGGCATAGTGAAAGGTAGGGATCTATTTTTACACACACACATACACACACACACACACACACACACACACCCCTACCTTCTAAACAAGTATATGGCATGTAGTAGTATGAACTCCACTAATGTGGGTCTTCACCCCCAGATGACCTGGATTGTCATTCTACCCTAAATAAATGTTCTTGACTGACAAGCTGTCAGTCAAATAATACCTTAGCAATATTAACTCAGGCCTCAGGGTCCAGGTAGGTAGTTGTTTATACAAGCAAGGTATTCTAGTGTGTGTCCCTGGATCTTGCTTCTCCACTGTGAGAGTTTATCACATTTAATTTCTACCTGGACATCATCAGGACAAGCAGTACTATCAGGTTTCTACAGATTGTGACATTTTTATTTTAATTAGAATTGTTCCCTCCTTGATATTATTATTCTTTTATTATGAAATATTTCAAACAGAAAAAAAATCTTTCTGTAACATATACTATATAATTTCAATATTTTGTGGAAAAGGAATGGAATAGGGTCTGAGATGATGCTAGAGGGTTGTTCTTATAGCTTACGACCACAAGTATTTCCTACTTTGCTACTGGTGTCTACATGAACAGGAAGCTATAAATATTAATAATATAAAACAGATTTATGGGGAAATGAAAAATATAATGAACCAAAATGATGTCAGTTACTGCAAACGCTTTAAATTTCCACTGAGTCCTATTATAGCTCTACTTTTATAGCAATACTATATAATTTGGCTTAACTGCTATCTTCCTTAGTTACCATTGATAGAATCAATGACCCAAGACAGAAAATTGAATTTCTTTTGGAAAAAAAAAATTTGATTCCAAAACAATATACTGAACCAACAGCTACTAGGACCTTATTCTTCCAAACAATGACAATGTTAGCTTCTGTTTAATTATTCCTTTACTTTAAAGCATCTCATAAACATTTTGCAAATTATAATTACCCTAAGATAGAGGCAAGGCAGATGCTAGTACCTCCACTTTACTTGAAGAAGCAGAGGTTAAATAATGTTCAGGATTGCTAGGAGAATATTTGGCCTGGTTCTAGGTACTCCGATGGCCCCAAGGTTTTCCCATTATACTAACTTGGTTCCGATGGGCATTCTAGTCACATATCTACCATTTCAGCTGAGCCCTCTCATGGATTCCCCATACAATCTGAGACTGCACATGAATCATTACAATGACTTGGACCTAATAATAATAGTAAAACTGATGTAAAACAGAGGTTCCAGGCCAACCAAAAACTATTACTAAGTCACCCGTTAAAGCAACAGGAGTCAGGAACACTAATGTCTAGTCCTGTCTTATACTAACTAGCTGCATGACCTTGGCAGTTCCCTCAGTGGGTCTGTTTCCTCATCTATAAAATGAGGACTGGATTACTAGGTCTTGAAGGAGACTCCCAGTTTCTCAATCTTTTTGTTATTTTAATCTTGTAAAGATATTGACTTGGGTCCTAGTTTGTTTCGCTCAATGGATAGAGTGCTGGCTCAAGGACTGAGGGCCCCCGGTTTGATTACGATCAAGAGCACGAACCTTGGTTGCAAGTGCAAACCCTGGCCCTGGTCAAGGCACACGTGGGAGGCAACCAATAGATGTGTCTCTCTCACATCAATGTTTCTCTCTCTCTGTCTCTAACCCTCCCTTCCACTCTCTCTAAAAATCAATGAGAAAATATTCTTGGGTGAGGATTAACAAACAAAAAAGATACTGACTTGGCAACATTATCCCATCAATAATATAAAGTGAGATTAATTAAAAAAACACACACACCCATGCTTTATACAGTTTTGCTCTTATCAATGGGAAAATATTCTTGGGTGAGGATTAACAAACAAAAAAGATACTGACATGGTAACATAATCCCATCAATAATATAAAGTGAGATCAATTTAAAAAAAACACACACCCATGCTTTATACAGTTGTGCTCTTACACAGGTATGCAAAATCAACTTCTCTTTTGCCATTAATAGGAGTAGCAACAGGAATGGCTATCATTTATTGAATGTTAGGTATGTGCCAGGCATTTAATACCTGCGTGTGCTATGGCCACCTCATGGTCCTAACTTTTTACTTGATGTGCCCCTGATCTGTGGAATCCCTGACAACTGTAATGTCACTTTAACCTCAGCTCCTAGAATACAGTATGGTTGGTTCATAGTGAATCCTCAATTAGTCTTACTAAATGAAGACATGGAGTCAGGCAGATGGGGCTTAGTCCTGACTCCATAATTTACTACTTGTCTGATTTGGGGCAAGTTACTTTAACCTCTGTGACTTCCCATCTGTAAAATAAGTATAAGCAGAGTAGTTGTGAGGATTAATTAATTAAGAATACCTGACATACAGTAAAGGAAAATATACATATTTTTACATACAAATGGATATTATTAATAAAAGGAAGCATTATTTAAAATTAGGGAAAGCAACACAGCATATCCAACCAACTGGTTATTATTTGTCATGACAAATCTTGTTAGGAAAAAATTTTATTAGCTTAAAGACTGTGTTGATAAGTGAAAAGAAAAACCTTACAAAATTACAGTTAAAGTATAATTCTAATTCAGTATAAAAATGCTTATTTAAAAACATGAAAGAAATACATCTGACCATCAAAAGTGGCTGCTTCTGTGTTGTGAAATCAAGGTTGATTTTCTTCCCCTGCATCTATCAACCTTAAAAAAAAAGCCAAACTTTAAAGAATTTCTAATCTGAACACTTACTTCATAACCAGGAAAATTTTACTCTATGTCATGTCATGTGCTCTTTTTCTTCTTATTACTTAATACTGCTACCCATTTTGAAAACAGTGTCTGGCTGTAGAGTATAACTACATTAAAGGTTTTTCAATCCCTCTATTTACAAAATGGAACTGATAAAGATACAAATTACAACTATAAAGTGAGACTTTTTTTGTTCATTTTAAATAAGTACTTCTTGTTTTTAATCATCAAATGATGGTTCTTGGAAGACTACACACTTATTTTTTCCCTATACTTATTCTTAAAGTGAAAAATGTGCAAAATAACACTATACATTATTTTCAGAAGAGAATTTACACCCAGGCATTGAGGCTTCATTCCTATCAGCTCAGGTAGGAAAGCTGAGGGTGAGGTTGGGGATGAGCTGACAAGATTCTGTTGGACTCTGGCCCAGAGTGTTTTGAAAAGGCCCAAAACTCTCCTCTGCCCCTTGCATGGGGGAAGTGGACACATGTATGCAGTCCTCCATGTCAAGAAACACTGTATGGTGACAAAGGACATTCCAGAGTTTCCTACGCAAAGCTCAGAAGCTACTGTGCCTCTCCAAAGCCACCAAAGGGGTGATAATCTCAGTTTACCATCTCCAGTTCATCATCTGCTTTTTTTGAGTTATACAAAGTTTACATCTGCCACTGGCACAAATGAGGAAGGGCTTCGGGCTTTGAAAATTTCTCTACTAAATTGGGAGCTAAGAAAAATAGAGGGTAGTGGTTGTGGCAAGACCTACCCATGAATGTCCAAATACGGAGCACATAGACAGGCAGGGCTTCCCTCACACCCACCAGAGGTTAATCAGCTCCTGGGCAACCCCAGCAGACAGAAACCTCAGGCAGCAGGGCTTTGTGATTTAAATCAAAGCCCTATTTGGAGGCTGTGAGCCTAAATGCTTCTTTTACAGATGGATCAAGATAGGGGAACTTACTGAGAGGTCAACGACTGTCTTGATGGCCTTTTCTTTCCTCTTTATGAAGTCATCATCCTATACAACAAAGAACAGGGATTAAACAAATCTTGTGTGAAGACTGAAACTCAACTGGACTGCTCAGAAATCTGTCTTATAAACTGACGTCACATCGTAACATCTCCTGAAGAAGTCTCAACTTTCTAACAAATTGCAATATATTGTGTATGGGAAAAAGTTAGAGCCTCTGCAGGTCTTGAAACAGATTCCTATAACCGGTAAGAAAACTGTTAAGTGCAGACAACTGTTCTCATTTAAAATCCTTATGAGCTCTAAAATCTTGGCCAAGTTACCTAATCTCTCAGTTTCTCCATCTGTAAAATGGGACATCATTGCCTATCTCAGGGAGCATTTGAAAGGATTAAGGAGTAGAAGGTATGTGATATGCTTGGACTAGAATATAGTAAGGATATGATGGCTATCAGCTATTGTTGTTATTGAGATTATTATTAAACTGTTAATATAGGAATGTCCTAGGCAGGTGGTCTCTCAACTATACAAAAATATAGTCGTGTTCTTGTAATTTAAGAAAAGTTCTGGACCACGTACCAAAATGTAAACAAAAGGACAACATTGTAGGGCTTTATACTCAGTGCCCCCAAACAGAGACAGTTCAAATGAGTCAGGAGGCCCATTTCAATGCGGACCCAGTAGGGGCAGAGATGCCACGCAGGGGATGGGCAGGCAGGGCAGCCTGAGCTTACTGAGCTTCTTCCCAGGGAGGCTCTAAGTATGCACTCATGGTCTCAACAGACAAGAAAAGTAAAAAACTAACCTCAGGGAGGCTGTAGGTTTTCTGGAACTGGGATATAGAGTAGGAGCGGATGTAGTCACCCATCTCTTCTTTTGTTTCTATAGCTCGCTTCACCAGCCACTGCAGGAGAAAATTAGAAATGTAAGGATGAAATACCACCATGGTGAAGGTCAACTCTTGGATTCCTGAGAGATGGCACAACTTGGGAATTCAAATCACCATATTTTAATGGACCAGGTGATGAGAAACTATCAATGTGTACTGTCCTAAAAAACCCGTATGAGTGATGGAAATAAATGGAAACAAAGCCACCAACTGGGCGTCTGGATGCTAAGACCCAGCGGGACCAAGAGCAGAGCAGCTGTGCAGAAGCTTTAAAGCCTCACTTCAGATCCTCAGGACTCAGTTTCCCTCTCTGCATAAAGCAGAGGTGAAACTGTGGGAACACATGAAATCACAAGTACTAGAGTGCTCTGTAAGTACCTGAAGCACAACACAAACAAAGCTATTTCCCACAGTCAACTGGTTCTAGCAGATCTTAATGTAACTTTCTCCTGGGCTGCTTGCACCACAGGCCAGAGAATAGAGAAGAACCACAGAGAACAACTAGTGTAACTCCTCATTTGACAGATAAAAAAATTCCCCAAATATTCAGATTTGAGAAGAGGGTGTACTGAGTAATAGCCCTAAGCTTTGGGTTAGTTTGGTACTCACATTTTCTCTCTTAATCCACACATGATAAAGCAGTTGATACTGGCTGTGTTTTACAAAACCTGAAGCTCTGAGGCCATGTAATTTGCCCAGTGATCCATAGCTAGCAAGTTGCAATTCTGTGAGTCACAACTGGGAGAGTCTTCCACAGTCACAACATATGGATTTTATTATAAACTAGAGGCCCAGTGCAAAAAATTCATGCATAGTTGGGGTGGGGTGGATGGGAGTGTGTCCCTCAGCCCAGCCTGCACCCTCTCCAATCTGAGACCCCTCAAGTGATATCTCACTGCCCATTTAGGCCTGGGATTGGGTCTAAACGGGCAATTGGGCATCCCTCTCACAATCCAGGACTGCTGGCTCCCAACCACTTGCCTGCCTGACTGGTTGCTTAATTGCCCCGAACTGCTTCTACCTGCCAGCCTGATCACCTCCTAACCACTTCCCTGCCAGCCCGATCGATGCCTAACTACTCCCTTGCCGGCCCGATTGCTCCTAACTACCCTCCCTCGTCAGCTAGGTTGTTCCTAGCTGCCCTCCCCTGCTGGCCTGGTTGCCCCCAACTGCCCTCCCCTGCCCATCTGGTCACCCTCAACTGTCCTCCCCTGCAGGCCTGATCACCTCCAACTGCCCTCACCTGTGGGCCTGGTCCTCCATAATTGCCCTCGCCTTCAGATCTGGTTCCCCTCAACTGCCCTCCCCTGCAGGCCTTGATCGCCTCCAATTGCCCTCCCAACTGTCCTCTCCTACTGGCCATCTTGTGTCCACATGGGAGTGGCCATCTTGTGTATTGGAGTGATGGTCAATTTGCATACCACCTCTTTATTATATAGGATGTTTCCCAGTTCTAATGAGCTGATATGCAGAAGTAGCTACTCTTCATTTTTCACTACTTAAAACTCCAGTTAATTACCACACAACCCATACCCTATAACCTTAGGAAGATCCAGGTGCTCTTAGGTAAGAAGGCAAAGAGCAAAAAAGGGCCTTCGCTTCTCCTGCCCTGGCTCTTCATTCATCCTCTTTATTACTGAAGAATATTATGGAAGGGGATCCCATCTGTCAGGCTTGTCATTCTTTCTCAAGAGAAAGCTATTACATCTCAAAAGCAGCTTTTGGATAATAGTTGAGTTTCCCCAAGAGCACAGCCAAACTTTGCAAATTTAGCTACCTAAGAAAGTAGAGACATGGCATATGACATGCTGTTCCCACAGGGCTAGAAAGAATGCTTGCTCACTGAGGGGGCCAGCTCAAGTAAAGGTCACATTTAGGAAGTAAATGTTTAGGAAGTTGCCCAGGATAGGGGTAGTTGCAATTAACTATATGAGGAATATTCTTTTGTTGTTAATATCTTCCATTTATTTCCATTACTCCAAACAGTGACCCCAGGTCCTGACTAAAATCCAGAAGGAGGGCAGAAAGTCAGACAGCATTCAGAATTACTCTAGCCTCTTAGCCGAATCCCATGAAACACCATGGCCCAGGATAACTAAGGAGGCTGACTCTTCCTCAACTCAATTTTGCTCTGCTTTCCTTCAGATGGGGAGAGCTAGTTTCTGGCCTTTCATACATGTTTCCTATTCAGATTTACCTCTATACTGGAGTTATTACATGGCTGGATCCTGAAGAGTGTGATCAGATAAGGAAAGTAAAGTTTGTTGAGTCACAGGATTCCCTGAGAGAACTGAATGTTCTGTTTTGGAGTTCCCAGTATGAAAGGTTATGGAGGGAATTTCTTAGACGACCAAGCTCTGCCACAACCCAACCATTCGGAAAAAAAAAAAAAAAAAAAAAAAAAAAACCTACCCTCACAGGGTTCACATGTCCTTATGGGATAAAAGATGTGACCTAGAACTAACAGTGCCTGGAAGTTAGATGGTTTTCCTCTTGGCTAGCATTCAGAATGCATTACTACTATAGCTTCGCTATGTGAGTGTGGGTAGTGAGCCTCTAGAATCACAGACAATGAATTCAATGGTTCCCAATCAATGGTCTATAACTGTTCTTTCATTGGTCACCAGCAAAACAGGAAAAAACTATAGGCATGTGGTGAGTTTTTCATAATGCTAAAGGTATTAAATTTGAAGACTTGTCCTTAGTCTGAGATTGGGGCTAAATGATATTTCTTTCAGGAAATGATAATCAAAGTAAGGCAGTTATTAGTTTAAAAAGCAATCTTGCCTACCCTAGCTGGTTTGGCTCAGTGGATAGAGTGTTGGCCTGCAGATTGAAGGGTCCCTGGTTCGATTCTAGTCAAGGGCATGTACTTAAGTTGCAGGCTCCAGACCAGCCTGGCCCCAGGTCCTGATCGGACCTGTGCAGGAGGCAACCAATCATGTGTTCCTCTCACATCGATGTTTATCTCTGCCTTCCCCTCTCTCTAGAAATCAGTGAAAAAAGTATCCTCAGGTGAGGATTAAAAAAAAGAAAAAAGCATACTTATCTGGAAAAATACAGGTGCAACTGTCAGTCAACCTCCATTTTTGCTTTTAAATTTTACAGGTCCATGAAATGAAGAAATCTAGTAATCACTAGCCTACACTCTCATATCAAGACAAAGCTCTCCAGCACTCTACTCACAGAATGGAACTGTTCATTCAGACCCTCAAATGCCCAAACTAGAGAAGAGCACTTCCCTTTATCCCTTCTCACATCTGGACTACATTTTTTGCCCTCAAAGTTCCAGCAGAGGGTTGAGTAGGTCTAATCACTAGAGATCCAGGCTTCTGGTGGTGGGAAAAGCAATAACTTCACAGCGTAATAATGTTTTAGTAACAATCAACACAAGGTCCTTACTTTGTTTTCACAAAAAGGTATCTTTTCCTTAAATCAGAAAGACAAGTCTACCAAAGATACAAATCAAATTTTGAGTTACAAATCAAATGAGGCTCGAATTTACAAATTTCATGGTAGGTGATTTGAAGTCTAATGCAGGGAAGATTCCCAGTAACAGTAATAACAACAGAAACAACTATATAATACTTATTTAAAGCACTTACTAAATGGGCCAGCCCTTCAGCCACGTGCTTTACACAAAGTAACATAATTCTCATCCTATCAGGTAGGTATATTATTATTTCTACTTATCAGAAGTTAAGTCTTTGCCTAAGGTCACACATCAGAGACAATATTTGAACCTAGGAAATCTCCAGAGTCCATGCACCTACACTATATAACCTTGATACAGACTTAGATGATGTTTGTAGCCAAAGCTGCATGGCTTTGTCCTTGCTTGCTGCACGAATGGAGGAGTGGGAAAGTACAAGGCTTGGAGACAGAGCCTTTAGATTGGAACCTTTGCTTTGCTACTCTGCCTGTGGGCAAATCAATTACCCTTTCTGAGTCTTACTTTCCTCAAATGTTAGACTGGAATTTTAACAGAAGTTTCAAAGACTCTATCAGGATTAGATGCAAAGCACTATTCACAGCACAGGCAACGAAGATGAGTCCCTTTGCTCCTCATCTTTCAAGCGCCTGGAGGGGAGGCAAACAAGAACTGTAGAGAATACAGCGAGCTGTACAGCACAAACCACTTAATCACAGAGTCCTGGGGAAAAACTGAGGTGGTCATAAGCCTCCCGACAGACATTTAGTCATCAAGTAAGACTGAATGCCTACAAAGTGCCAGACAGTCTATGAGATGCTGGAAACACAACAGTGAGCAAGACAGCCATGGTGCCTGCCCTCATGAAGCTTACAGAAGGATGGAGAGATGGATAAATAATCACACACTTAAATATACACAGTACAAATGATAGTAAGGGTTATTCCTGTGAAGAAAGGGAATGTGGCCTTATGAATGGATATGGCAGGAACCTGTTCTAGACTGTTGGGTCAGGAGTAGCTTTCTTGAGGAGGCTTGGTGAAACTGAGGTCTGAATAAGTATGAATCAAACAGAAAAGAAGAAAAGAGAAGAGCTTTTCAACTTGGGGGAAAGGCCCGTGACAGGAGGAAGCATAATAACTATGAGAAAATCTGAAAGTCAGAGGAACTAAAAAAGAAAGAACAAAGGAAAGCAAGGAATGAGGCTGGGTAGGTCAGAAGTGACCAGAGCATGGGGGAATGGGGGCTGTGGAGCTTTATCTTTACCAAAAGAATAATGAAAAGCAACTAATGGGGACATTTAGAGATCAGGTGAGAAACTGATCAGTGAGAAACTAGGGGAGGAGGAGTACCAGCGACGTCTGAGGATGACATCAGGAAACATCATGTTCTGCTGCCACCAAATCCACACCACACCCATTAGATTCAGGATCTAGGTCAGCCAGCCAAGGAATCAGACTCGTTGCAGGAATTCAACGTTCAGAGGACAAGGAACCACACTGAGACTCTCACCTGAACAACGGGAAATATGTGAATAAAATCCATCCCCTGGATCTGGTGAGGCTCCAGCTGGTGTGGACACTTCATTCTTGGCAGAACAGAGACAATTTTTTCTGATAGAGCTCTATTTGGAAAAAACAACAAGCGAAGAGTGAGAACACACTAAGTGGCTCTTAAGACATCTCTCAAGTCTGGGTAGCATCCCAAAAAAACCTGAGGCTTCTCAATGCCAGACCATGACCAAGTTTCTCCTGACTGATTCCAAAATTAGGAAAAATAAGCACAGTTTAGATGTGTGCATTTAAGGCAACAAAACTGCCTTCATCCTTTATTCTAAGACTGTGTGCTTCCTACTTTTTTATATTAAAATATTTTGATTCTTTATGAAATCATGGTGATGTTTGAGGTAGTAGTTATTATTATTTTTTCTAACATCTTTACATGGTAAAATAAAAAGTTATCAGTACCCCATATCCTTTTACATTTCATTTTACTGACCTACTTTTTCCAAAAATCTGGGAACCACTGGGTTACACATTTAAAAAATTGTTGTAAATGCCAGGCAAGAAATAATTATTAGACTTGTGCCAGGTGTCCAGAGTAAAAACATGGTGCCACAAGCTCAAGAAAAAGTTGGAGTTCTCTACTCTGGTACAGAAATATTTTTAAAATAAAAAGTACCCAAAACTCCAAGCTTAGCAAATGAAAATGGTTCTGTCTCCTTGTTCAGGCAGGTTTTAACTATTTATATGTGTGGGGGGCCATCTTTCCTCTCAGTTATCTTTTGGTTCAGCAGGAGGAAAGCTCCCTCTAGTGGTACAGATTTATGCGTTTGCATAAGGTTACTGATTGCCCTACCAGACAGTAACTTAAAAATGTGGTTGGGACCCCCTACTATAATACAACTGGCGTGGGACATGCAAGAGGCAGCTGATCAATGATTCTCTCACATCATTGATGTTTCTATTTTCTCCCTCTCCCTTCCTCTCTGAAATCAATAAAAATATATTTTTTTTTTAAAAAGAAAAGAAAAGAGATAACAAGTGCTGGCAGGATGTGGGTAAAAGGAAACATTGTGTACTCTTGGTGCGACTAGCCACTATGGAAAACAATATGGAGGTTCCTCAAAAAATTAAAATGAGATCTATCATATGATCCAGCAATTCAATTTCTGGGTATATATTAGAAAGAAAATCACTATCTTGAAGAATTATGTGAACCCCCATATTAATTGCAGCATTATTTACAATAGCCAAGACATAGGAATAACCTAAGTAATCATCAACAGATAAATGAATAAAGAAAATGTAGTATATACATACATTGGAATGTTACTAAGTCATAAAAAAGACAGAAATCCTGCTATTTGCAACACCATGGATAGCCTTGAGGGCACTGTGCTAAGTGAAATAAGTCAAAGAAAGGCAAATACTATGTGGTCTTTCTTAATACATCTCATAGAAAGAGAGAACAGATTAATGCTTAGCAGAGGTGGAGATGGATGAAATGGGTAAAGGTGTTCAAAAGATACAAAGTTCCATTATAAGATAAATAAGTTCTGGGGATGTAATGTATAGCATGCTATTTTATCAACACTACACTATATATCTGAAAGTTGCTAAGATCTTAAAAGTTCTTGTCATAAAAATTTATATCTATGTGAGATGATGGATATTAACTTGTCGTGGTAATTATTTTATAGTGTATATAAACTAAAAAGCATTATGGTGTATACCTTAAGCTAATACAATGTGATGTGTCAATTATATCTCAATAAAACTGGAAAGGTTTTTTAAAAAGTGTTAGAAATAGCCTGAACACTGAAATGACTCTTACATAATGCAGATTTTTTTTTCAATAGATGGAGTTACACATATGTTGAGATATATATATATATATGTGTGTGTGTGTGTGTGTGTGTGTATTGATATGTATGCTATTTTGTTGTATTTTCAGCCAGCTTCAAAACTTCATATGTCAAATTTGCTGAAAGTGTTAACATAATAGATATTTTTACACTTAAAAATGTCGAATTTTGTGCCCAAAAAAGAGCATTTGTGGGAAGTTTTAATTCATTACTTTATTTTGAAGAAAAAGTTATCATATACTTTGGGAAGCTTACGGTGAACATGCTCCATCTCAAGATACTTGTGAATGTTGGTTTAAACACTTTAAAAGTAACTTCATTGTGAAAGACAAAGAACGTCCAGGTCAACCAAAAAAGTTTGAAGACCAACTATTACAAGCATTATTGGATGAAGATGTGTGTCAAACTCAAAAAAACTTGCAGAAAGATTAAACATTGCTCAGCAAACAATTTCTGAGTGTTTACAAGCAATGGGAAAGATTTTAAAGAAAGGAAAATGGGTGCCACATCAACAAATGGAAAACCAAAAAGTCATCAGTAAAATGTTGCTTCAACAGCATGAAAGTCTTTTTTGCATCGAATTGTGACTGGCTATGAAAAGTGGACTTATTTTGAGAATTCCAAACGCACAAAGTCATGGGTTGATCCAGGTCAACCATCAACATCAACTGCAAAGCCAAATAGCTTCGGAAAGAAGACAATGCTCTGCGTTTGATGGAATCAGGAAGGCGTGGTGTATTATGAGCTTCTAAAACCAGGTGAAACCATTACTAATGATCACTACCGACAACAAATAATCAATTTGAACCAGCCTTTGATTGTGCAATGACCAGAATGTGCCAGAAGATACAGCAAAGTAATTTTTCTTCAAGATAACGCACCATCACACACTTCAAAACCAGTTAAAGACACGTTAAAAGATCTTGCCTGGGAAGTATTAATCCATCTGCTATATTCACCAGACCTTGCTCCTTCAGATTACCATTTGTTCTGATTGATGGCAAACATACTTTCTGAGCAGCACTTCAAAATGTACAAAGAAGTGTAAAATTGGGTCTCTGAATGGTTTGCCTCAAATCAAGAAAAGTTCTACTGGGACAGTATCCATAAATTACCTGAAAGATGGGGGAAATGTGTAGCTAGTGATGGACATTACTTTCAATAAAGCACTTTTGATGTTTTTCTTGAAATTATTGTGTTTTCTTTGATTACAAAATCCACCATTATGAACCAGTATGCCTAGTATATGCTACCTGTGTGACCTTGGTTTATTTCAGTTCATTTTGTAATCTATAACTGCGATATTACCTGTTGTAATGAAAATTAAAATAAAATGAGTACAGTGTCTAGCACAACATCTGGCACGTAGCAGGCACTCAAAAGTTACTCTGTCCTCCTTTTTTTGGCTCTTCCATGGTGAACCCTAACAACTTACATTTTTTGACCTATTGTAGAGTTTTCTTGAAAGAGCAAATCAACATCTACATCAAAGTTGCAAGTGGTAATACACCAAGTCATTCCTCCTACCACCTGCAAGACAAAGAAAATATGTGTTTTCTCTTTCTAGCTTGGGGAGAGGGAAAGAAGTCAAAAGTAGTCAAAATATAAATATATTTTACAGACTCAATAAACATACAAAATTATGTATTGTTAGAGAAAGTATGTATATCCTGACTTTATCAACTACAATCCATCTAAGATAGCATTGCTGGATAAAACTTTCTGCAATCATGGCAATGTTCTGAACCTGCACAGTCCAATTCAGCAGCTGCTAGCCACATATGGTTACTGAGCACTTGAAATGTGGCTAGTGTGACTGAGAAAGTGGCTTTTATTACTAAATGGATACAGACAGACTTACTTTATACTGAAGGAGACAGACATTAATTCTTAGGTGAGAGAAATCTTAAACCAGTTTTGGGTAGTGCTAGATTCCAGAGAGATTATCTGTTTAATACACCAGACACATGAATATCAAAATTGACATTTTGTGGCTCATTACTTTATTTTTATACCTCTAATTTTTTCATCTACTTAAAGGAGATGTGAATTCTTGCTCTACTTTCCCCACAGGATTTCTTTAAGATGCAAATGAGACTAAGGCTAAAAGTCCATTTTGAAATTAAAAAAAAAAGAAAAAAAAGAATCTTATTTCTGGCTGTGCTTAGACCCACGTGAAATGTCTAATAGCACACAGATTCCAGGCCCCAGTCCAGACCTACATGAACAGAATTTCAATGTGTGAGGCTTAGACATCTGTATACTGAAACAATGCACAGTGATTCTGTTATGGGAAGGCAGAACTGTGGCCCATTGGAGCACTCAACATTTTTTTCCACCAGGAAGCTTTCCTGGCCTGTCCTGTCTGATCTGGATATTCCATTTCTATACTAGAATACAGTTTACTGCAGTAGTATTTACTGCATTATGCCACTTATCCCATGCATGTTGATATACTTGTCTCTTTTCCCTATGCTATAGAAGTCGAGGCCTTTGAATACAGGGTGTCTGTCTTACCTCTGTGCCCTCAACACCTATTACTATGCCTTGAGCATAACAATTGTTCAAAATTCTGCTGAATTAAACTTCACCCCATAGTGACTTCTCCCTCCTCCAAACTAAGCATTTACCATCCACCCACAGACAACCTGACAATTGTCTGTGAACTCACTGACTTGGGATGGCTCCTTATTAACTCAGATTCTTTTCCTTTACATAAGCTTTATCTTCCCACCCAAACTGTAAGTTCCTTGAAATGAAGAAGTATTTCATTAGCTTATTTGCATTTCCCAAGGTTTCATGCATAGAAAAGGAATTCAAAATGTGTCTACTGATATATTATTATTTTCTTTTGGTAAGAAACACTTCCATAGTAAATCTGAAAAAGGAAGAAATGGAAACACAGGCATGGAAAAAGGAAAAACACAATCTCTTCTTCTTTTCCGTAGTTAACCATGCCATCCTGACAAAAAAAATGGACTAATAGTTAGAAAGATGTCCTCTTACCTTATCAAAAGGTGACAAGCCTTTAATTCTTGCCCTGAAATACCCAGCTGCAACCAAAAGCTCCAGAATTTCAGTTAACTTGACATTTTGTTCTTCATCTTCTCTTGTTTCTACCTAAAACAAAAGGTGAAAAGCTGTAAAAGCTATCTTGAATACAGCAACACCAGATCTATCTCCTGATGCCACAACATTGTCAGGTGACATTGGCTAGACCAATGCACTCATGAAGGCGCATGGCCCACAGAGCTGCCAGAGTTTCACAGAAGAGACTCCCCAGGTGTCTCTTCTACTCATCACAGGTGAGGGCAGAAGACACAGGGCCTGTTTACCAGGTCCTGAAGGAATCCAGAGAAAGAAGGTTAAGGCACATTACCACCCTGTTCTCTAAGACATGGTGTACTTGACAGGTCTCTCAACTAAATTATAAATTCCTTACAGAGGAACAAGGTGGTTTTTATTTTTTTTAACTTCATAGTCATTTTGGTCCATATTATTTTAAAGAGGGTCAAGAACAAAGAATAAAATATATATGCCTCTCCACACTTCTTTTTGTTCTCTAAGACAAACATAAAGAAGGCTTTCAACTCAGTAATACTAACGGGTAATTATTGCCACATAACAGGATTGCTTTAAAAATAATACATTCACCTAATATCCTATATAATAAAAGCCTAGCGACCATAATGGCAGGGCTTTTACTTTATTTTCATACCTCTAATTTTTTCATACCTCTAATTCATATGACCAGAATGACCGCTTGACCAGTCACTATGAGGTGCACTGACCACATCTTGGTCTCCGCCCTTGTCCACAGGCTCTAATCGCCTGATGGCGAATGGAGATCCCGGGGTGGGTGGCAGGGGATGTGGGCGGTGCCAGGCATAGACTCCTGCTCCACTGGTCACCCTACACACAGAGGGCGACCTGTGGCTGAGGTGGGGCCAGCAGGTGTGTGGGAATGGCCAACCTCTTGGTCCCTTCCCCTCAGTAGGCTCTAATCGCCCGATGGCAAACGGGGATGTAAGGTGGGTGGCAGGGGATGCAGATGGCGCCAGGCCAAGACCCCTACTCCACCGGTCACCCCACACACAGGGGGAGTCACAAATGGGCAGGACTGGCCCATCTCTTGGTCCCTCACCCCTGGCAGTCAGGTTTCAATGGCCCAATGGCAAACTGGGAACCCAGATGGGTGGCTGCGGGGGCAGGGCAGGCTGCCAGCATTAAGGGAAGATTGCCCTAATCGTGGGCTAGACCTAGGGACCGTATCCACACATGACTTTTGTGCACTAGGCCTTTAGTAAAATAAAAATTGTTAAGTTTACAGGGAAGGGCAAAAGTAGGTTTACAGTTGTTGGTATGGAAAAGAATACAATAAATTACAAGAATAAACTGTGTTTCATGTACTCACAGATGTAAACTTACTTTTGCCCCACCCGACATATCCTATCTTCACTACCAGGTGTTTATTTACGAGTTAAATTTATCGAAATATTTTAATACTTTTGCCTCCATTTACTTTAATGAACTGTCTCCCTTTCCCCTCTTGCGTCACTGCCGAAAATAAAATCCAACCGTCTCTATAAAACACCACTAAAGTATTCTGGTTCAAGTCCTTGTACCTACCACTTGGGACTACTCTCTTACTCAACAATGCCTGTTAAATCTTCTTTACTAAGCATCTCACATTAATCCTCCCTTCCTTTTTATTTATTCTTCATGCCAGGACTATTGCAACTGCCTCTCAATCTTTCTTCTCTGGTAATCTGTCTTGTTCATTCATTCCTAAATCACAGCTTTTACATCATTACCTCTTTAGCTCATCCCCCAGCTCTCATCATTAATGCATCACACACTGTCTATAAAATAGACTCCAAATGTCTTAGTTGGCATCCAGATTTTTGGCTACAACCTATCTTTTCAGCTTCATCCTTCACCTCCCCCCACGACAATCCTGATATGGCTATGGCCAACCTCCTTCTCTTAATATCCTCTGATCAGGGACAAATCATCAGCAAATTCTAGCTCCTATTTGATGCCAAACCTAGCAAATACAGCCTGAAATACCCATTTCTCTGCATTTATCTTTTATTTATAATCTGTCATTCATACAATGATGAACAGCCTCTTTTTTTGAGGGACATGCCTGGTGTTAATGAACATGCCTAGCTTTCCAAATAGACTATTCTATTAGCTGTTCACTCCTGTTATGAAATAGCATGTTGGCCTTCAAAAACACACTTATTATAGAATGACATGCTCAATCATGACATAAAGTGCATGACCTAAGCCATTCATGTATGAGCAAAATGTTTTAATAGTCATGACACTGATAATGGAAAGTCAAGTTTATTTTGAAGTATAAACTGTTAAGAAAGGGAGTATAGATATTAACACAGGCATATAGTTGAACAAGGAATTATTAAAGTGATTGTTAATCCCTTGAAATGGGGTGGAGGTGTCAACTACACACTAGTACTCATTTAACTTAACTCTCAGATGACCCTGGTCCAGCCTATCCAATATTTTGAAGATTAGCATTCACCAGCTATTCATGGACATGTATAAATAAGGAAATATCAATTATTCATACCTTCTCTTCCTTGGCAACAGATTTGTGATGGGTGAAACTCAAATAGAAGGTAAAGAGCAGTTATGGTTCAAAAGGTAGAGTAGGGGAGAAATGGGATGATATATACAAGTATTTTCTTCAAACTCCTGGGATGTAAGACAGGTAGCCTTCATTTGTGCAGTCATTTGTCATAAAAACACTTCTAAGAAGAGGACAGAACATCATGGGACGATCATTCCTGCCTCAGCTGCTACCTAAGGAGCACCCCAAAGAAGATGCATGGCCCATGCTTCCAACCACTCACCCCCAGAATAAAGAAGTGTACTTTTACACTATAACCTGTGAAATAACTTTGTGGTACAAGACACTGAATGGATAATGTCAATAAGACTTCAAATTCATTTCAGAGATTACATTGAGACAAAATAGAAAAGAGCATGAAAGAATGCTCTTTCAAGCCATAAAAAGCCACCAGATTGGTTAATACATCCAATTGTTAAAAAACAAAACAACAACAACAAAAAACCAGCCGAAACTGGTTTGGCTCAGTGGATAGAGCATTGGCCTGCGGACTGAAGGGTCCCAGGTTCAATTCTGGTCAAGGGCATGTGCCTTGGTTGTGGGCACATCCCCAGTGGGGGGTGTGCAAGAAGCAGCTGATCGATGATTTTCTCTCATCGATGTTTCTGGCTCTCTATCCGTCTCTCTTCCTCTCTGTAAAAACAAATAAACAAACAAACAAACAATCACTTAAAATTCTGGTAAAGACGAATGACTGTGAGCTCCTCAACCAGGCACATTAAATTTCCAATTGCCTTGCATTGCAGTTCATGTAAAATGGAGGGCAGGGCCAGTCCAGCTATCTGCATATCCTTCATACTATAAACGGTTTAAAAAACTGTTAATGAATTAATAGGATCAGTAACAGCTTAATCACACAGAGTATATGCACTAGTCTTTGAACTAAATGACAACTTGATTTTATAGTCACCCTGTCTGCCTCCTAATTGCCAAGAACTGTCCTAGTCTCTTGGAAAAGTGACAAATAAGACGCTGCAGTTAGAGCAGGGTTAAACAAAGTTTATTTTAGAAAAAATCCCCACTAGTAGTGGGACACTGAATCAGGAGAATTTAAGATAGAACCAGGGAGATAAGACAGGAGTCTACAGCCATAGGCCAGGCAAAAACTTGATGACATCCTGGAATAAAGAAGTGGCAAAAAAGAAATGTCAAATAAAATATCACAGTATAGAACCTGATATTCACAAATCCCTGGCTCCATCAAAGCAACTCATGGGGAAGGTTCTACCTGATAAGAGGGCTCTGACATTACACTTGATAGGATTTCCTAAGATAACAACAAAACGGACGTGTGCTCTGGGAACTCACGCTAACAGCTAAGTCCATCCTTTCATCACCATAGCCCCAGCTTTTATGCGCAGTTAGTGGGTTTGTGATATGAAAGGGCTTAGGGGCGGGGGAGCGGAGAAGCCAGAATGGGGGCCGCTGAGAGCAAAGGAAGCGCTCCTGTGTCCAGAAATCGGTCTCCAGCCAGAGGCCTCCTTCAGAACCTCAGGAGGGGACAGGGGGGCGGCGTGGCCTCCGTTTCTCTCAAGAATCTGATCAACACGCTTTCGAGCAAACCAACTGGAAGGGAGGGCAGATGTAAACCACCTCGCTAAGTGATATTTGCACCCCGAAGGAAATGCACTTCCCCTTTATCCCCAGCCGACGTGGAAATCCGGAAACCATTGCCTATCCTGCCCCAGGCCCAGCCAGGGTCAGTGACAAGCGCCTCTGGGAGGACAGGAGCCCATTACCTCCCGGAGGAGCGGCCCCGGGGCCCTGCCACACAGCACACCCCGCGGGACCGACGGCTCCCAAACCTCTCCGCGGGCTGACCGCGGGGGGCAGCCCCCCGGGCACAGGCGGGCGGGCTGGGCCCCCGAAGGCGGCTGCAGCCCCAGAAGGTCGCCGCCCTTTGCACAGCCCGAGCCCGGACCGTCCCAAGGCGCATCTCGTGACTCCTCGCGCAGCAGCCCGGCCTCCGGGCGAGCCCTGCGGCGTCCGAGGGTCCGGCACCCGCCCCGAGCGGGAGAGGCGGGGAGGACCGGGTAGCGCCCGCAGCCCGGCCGGCGCTCCCCGCGGGCGCTCCTGCGGGAGGGGGCGGGGCGCCCGGCGCGGCCTGGCCCTCTCGCGGGCACCCGACGTGTCAGGAAGAGGGGCTCCTTACCTCTGGGAGACCCTGGCCCTCCGGCCCCCTGGGCAGCCCCATCATCCGACTGGACTGATGTGTGCAGGCACCCAAGTCCGCAGAGCGGCCGGAGGAGGCTGCCCACCGCCGCGAAGCCGCTACCGGAGCGGAGCGCCCAGCGGCCACTTCCTCCGCCGCCGCCGCCGCCGCCGCCGCCGCGGGTCCCCGGCGCCCGGCCCGCGGAGCATGCGCGCTGGGGCGGGAACGCGCCGCGCTGCGACTGCGCCTGCGCGAGGCGGCCCGGTGGAGGCGGGACTGGGGGCCGCGGAGCGGAGTCCCGCGCGGAGGATGCTGACCTTGCAACCGGGTCTGCGTTTCCCTCCAAGAAACTTGATGAAAAGGCCTCTTTCCGCATCTCGGGGACATTTTTCATCCTGGGTCTCTCTCTGCTTCTCAGAGGCATGAATCAAGCGGGCTTGGTTCTCTCCGACTGCCGGGCTTCGGGAGCCGCCTGGCTCGGGTCAGAGTCCGAGCTTGAAGAGCGTGGGTTCCACCCCGCGCCCGGCTGCAGCTCCGCACCGGCTGCCCGGCTTCGTCGTGCACTGGGACAAACTTCTCACATGCGGACAGGAGCCCAGCCCTCGAAAACGCTTTCCTCACGCCTGCTGCCTCCCTAACGCCTGAGCCATGCCTCGTGCTCCCCAAGAAAACTCGTCGGGGATAATGTGCCCCCATCCCACTCCCCACTCCCCAGCTTCTGGTCTTCCTTAAGGGAAGGTCTTCTCAAAAATGCGACTCCAGTGTTGAGGTCCTTTTAGCTGCCACATCACTTACATGATGCACCCCAGTGTATCCCAGAGGATGGTAGCAGCTCTTTGTAGAGTTGTCTTCCTGGCCACAAGCCACTGCACCTGCTCCATAATGGCTTCTCCAGCGTTTTCTCCTCCCCCTCTCCCTCCTCCTCCTCCTCCTCCTCCTCCTCCTCCTCCTCCTCCTCCTCCTCCTCCTCCTCCTCCTCCTCCTCCTCCTCCTCCTCCTCCTCCTCTCCTTCCTCCTCCTCCTCCTCTCCTCCTCCTTCTCTCTCTCCCCTCCTCCTCCTCCTCCTTTCTCCTCTTTTCCCTCCTCCTCTTCCTCCTCCTCCTCTTCTTTGTGATGAAGAAAGCGATGGCATCTGAAAACGTTTTTAAAAATTGATTTTAGGGAGGCGGGGGGCGGGGGGGGGGGAACATCATCAATGAGAGAAACGTTGACTGGCCGCCTCCCTATGCCACCCTACCGGAATTGAACCCGTGGCCTTTTGTTGTACAGGAGGAGCTCCAAGCAACTGAGCCACCAGGTCACGGCTGCATGTGAAAACTTTGGCTGTTTCCCTGTGAGCCTTTGGGGAGAGGCAGGAGTGTGAGACTCTAAGCTTGAGATAAAAAAAGGTTTGTGTGTATCCTTCCTGTCTGCTTTCCAATTGGTTATTCAGTAAATGTCCTTGAAGAAATTCGTGCCTTTTGTGCTCCCAGAGTTTATCCTGACAGAACGGAGATGTCTCTGGAACCTTATGCACAGCCATTTCCTTTTTTAAATGTAGTTAGCAAATATTGCTGACAAAACTTTGTGCCATCAGCCCTGGCCGGGTGGCTCAGTGGTTTAGAAGGTCCTCTTGATAACAGGTTTCGGGTTGGATTCCCAGTCAGGGCACATATAAGAATCATCCAATGAATGCATAAATAAGTGGAACAACAGATCGATATCTTGCTCACTCTCTCAAAGCAATACTACCCCCCCAAACTGTGTGCCACCTCCACCAGACACCAAGGATTAAAAAAAAAAAATTGAATATGCAAATTAAGCTGTTGAGATGGAAACTCTGTTATGTTAGTTTTATGTGTGTTAAAAAATGATGAACCCTAGCCAGTTTTGCTAAATGGTTGGAGCGTTGGCCCGGGTTTGATACAGTGCAGGGCCCATACCTCAGCTGCAGCTTGATCTTCGACCCTGGTTGGGGCATGTGCAGGAGGCAACCAATTGATGTTTCTTTCTGTCTCTCCCCCTCCCTTGCATACTCTCTAAAAAAAAAAAAAAGTCAATGGAAAAATATTCTCAGGTGAGGATTGACAACAACAAAATGATGAAATAGGAATGACTTCTTGATCCCACCCATTGTGAAGCCAATGAAACTCAATTTCTAAGTCATCCACTTTCATAACTCCCCAAATGTGTTATTTTTGTAATATTAAAAGTGTCCTTCCTTGAGATGGTATTGAATGAGGGAGAATGGAGGGTGATGATTTGTAGCCACTGTTGGATGACCAGACAGGTATTGACGCCTAGGGACAGGCAGCACAACCTCACATAGCAAGCAAGCCTAAATAGCTGTGTATAAAACAGCCCAGGGAATAGAGCTTAAAGAATAATAGGACTCGATAGCCTACACAGGAGTCCCATATTATAAATGCTTCTGCAATGTTTCAAAAAACAAACAAACAAACAAACAAACAAAACCCCCAAACCATGAGCAGCTATCTTTCCCAATAAGAAACTGTCCCAGTTAACTTTCTGTGTAAGGTCACAGTAGCAGACTTGCATTGACAGCATGTTTTTTTTTTGTTTTTTTGTTTTTGTTTTGTTTTGCCTAAGACCCTAGCAAAACAACTCAAGAATGCTTGGGCAGCCCACTTTGGAGAGAGAAACCCCTGCACAACCTTGGAGACAATGTAGGTTTGTGAGGACTCTCAGATAAATGTGTCTCTCTCCTTCTCTCCTGGCTCCGGGTGTCCACACACACATGTCGTCTCCAGGTGAGGTATTTGGGGATGAGGGATCCCCTGTCCCTCCTATGCACATCTAGCACAGAGGTATGTGTTGTTCCTCTAAGATTCTCAGAGACTTCACAGATACTTTTCCTCCTGGGTATAGGGTGCCGTAGTAAAGAGCTTCCTGTTAGGACCACCTTTATCCTGGAGGAAGTTTACTATAGTCTCAGTCATCCTCTCCTCATGTTTCTTTTGGTCCTTTCATTCTGGGCTCTTGCTCTGTCTAAGAAGGGGAATCATGAGGTCTTGAAGCAGGAAAGGACTTTAGGAGGCATGTAGTACAATTATGGGTGTTTGGAAAAGTGGAGTGACAGTTTAGGTTACATATTATGTTAGTGGCAGTGCTGGGATTAGAGCTCCATATGTCTGATTTACAATGTCCTTTTATTCATCTATCATCCACTCACCTATTCATCCAACAGGTATTCTGAGATCATTCTATGTCATTGGCTCTCAAGCTTGGCTGTGTGTTAGAATCACCTGGGGAACTTTAAAAGCTACCGTTGCCTGAGTTCAAACCCCCCAGGGATTCTGATTTAATTGATCTGAGGAGGAACATAAAATTTATTTTTTCTTTACTGAAACCGGTTTGGCTCAGTGGATAGAGCAACGGTCTGCGGACTGAAAGGTCGCAGGTTCAATTCTGGCCAAGGGCATGTACGTTGATTGCGGGCACATCCCCGGTAGGGGGTGTGCAAGAGGCAGCTTATCAATGTTTCTCTCTCATCGACGTTTCTAGCTCTCTATCTCTCTCCCTTCCTCTCTGTAAAAAATCAATAAAATATATTTTTTTAAAATTTATTTTTTCTTTAAAATATATTGTTTTATACATAAGACAATATGTATTGTTTATATACACTGAGTGGCCAGATTATTATGATCTCTGAACACATAATAATCTGGCCACTCAGTGTGTGTGTGTGTGTGTGTGTGTGTGTGTGTGTGTGTGGGGCCTGGTGCATGAATTCCTGCATGGGTGGAGCCTGGCCATGGGGAGGGTACATGGGTGGTTGGCCACCCTGGCTGCTGGTCAAGGGGACAACTTGCATATTAGCTTTTTATTATATAGGATATACACTGAGTGGCCAGATTATTATGCATTCAGAGATCATAATAATCTGGCCACTTAGTGTGTAAACCAATACAGGGGACATATACCCTGGGCAACACAGTAGTGAGCAGTAACCTCATTACTATCCCTCATTTATAATGTTTCCTTATAAAGCACACAAAATTTAAAATTCATAAACAAACTAAGAGCCCTTAAGTTAAAAAAGTTCTTCCTGAAAATTCTTAATTGTATGCCAATCCATTCTCAAACAGTAAAAGTTTATGACACACTTTTTATTGAGGGGGAATGAATATTAAAACTTCACAGGTGATTCCCCTGAGCAGCCAGTTTGAGAACCACACCTCTCTGCGCTGGAGATACTGCAGCCACCGAACCAGACAAGATAATTACTGACACAAATTAAACATGTAAATTAATAAGATAATGCTGGAAAGAAATTAGTGCTCTGTAGGAAAAAAACAAACCAGTGTAATGTGAGAGGGTGTAGCTGAAATCAGAGGCTCCTTTAGATGAAAGACTCAGGATTGAGGGGAGACCTAAATCCTGAGAAGGTGCCACGACAGTGTTTCAGGGAAAAGCACTCCAGGCAGAAGGATGTCCGGATGTCTTCCTTCAGCCCCTCCAAACCCAATCTCACCCCTCTCACCATGCCTGCTTCTATATATATATATATATATATATATATATATATATATATATATATATATTTTTTTTTTAAATATATTTTATTGATTTTTTACAGCAAGAAAGAGAGAGGAATAGAGAGTTAGAAACATCGATGAGAGAGAATCATCAATCAGCTGCCTCTTACATACCCCCTACTGGGGATGTGCCCGCAACCAAGGTACATGCCCTTGACCGGAATCGAACCCGGGACCTTTCAGTCCACAGACTGATGCTCTACCACTGAGCCAAACCGGTTTCAGCTAAATATTTACCAGTAAAAATATTCACTGCAGCAGGTCATGAAAGAAAAGGATGAGAGGTGAGGCTATCTAAATATTAGCAATGTTTGCCTGTCATAAAGTCATTTAAAACATTTAAAAGACAAACTGGAAAATATTCATTATCTGTGACAAGAGTTATTACAAATGAGGAAGAAAATTAATAGAAAGACTTGAACAAGAATACCTAAAATAAATTGTCACTAAATATTTTTTAAAAGCAGATTCTTAGCCTTACATTAAAAAGTTAAAATTAGGTAC